GACCTGTCGTTGCGTCCCTCTTTCCCTTCTGCCCCTCCCCGACCTCCTTCCTGCTCCCAGGCTGGCGGGTTCGTGGTGTGGGGCCGGGTGAATGCCAACCTGAACATCAGTCGAGCGTTGGGGGATGCGTCATTTAAACAGGTGGGTTTGTTTGTATATGTTCATGTGGAGGGAAGAGTTATTCGGACCTCTCTCTTGAACAGGTCTGATATGCGGGGTGCCGCCTCCTCCTCGTCATCATCATTCGCTCTGGGGCCCCCCAATCCTCCTCGGCCGTGTTTCCCAACCACTCCACTTCCTGTTTGCAAGCTCCCCAGTCCGCACCCACTTTTCACTTTCGCCAGGTGTGAATGTCTCTTCCCCCCCACACCCTCCCTCCCTCCCTCCCTCCCTTGTGGACTAAGAGCAGCAATCAGTTTTTCCCATCTCCCCCTGCCAAGTCGCCAAGTGATTACCCTCCTCTTCCTCCCTCCTCGACCCACCCAACCCCCCCTCCTTTCCCTCCCTCCACTCCCCCCTCTCCCCCCCAAGGACAAGTCCCTCTCGGCAAGCGAGCAGCAGGTCTCCCCCGACCCGGACATCCGCTCCGTAACCCTCACGCGCCACGACACATTCATGGTGCTGGCGTGTGACGGACTGTGGAACGCACTGCCCGAGCAGCAGGTGGTGGCGTACGTGCAGCGGAGACTCAACCTGCGGCACACGCTGGGGGCGGTGGCGGAGGGCCTGGTGGCGGAGGCGATGCAGCCGCAGCGGTGCGCTCATGACAATGTCACGGTGGTGGTGGTGCAGGTGGGTGTGGGCGGGGAGGGCGGCGGGAGGGGGCGCGGCCAGGAAAGAGCGATTGCGAAGCGTGTTGCAGCTGGTGCGGTACTTAGGCGTCCCGCTACCCCTTACAGTTTACTTAGGGCTCTTGTCGCCTACGTGAAAAAAATAAGCATACATACCTGCGCTGTATTTCGGCTTCTGGCATGGTCTTTCGCTGCCCACATTGTAATATAATATTAACTAACAACCTAACTAGAAATACATCCCATCAGTTTCGCGCTCCTGTTTCCTGAAGTTTAAGCCTCCAAGCGGCTTTCCCCCCTCGTCCTTCCCCAGATTGATTATTGGCATTGTGCACATGCAGCTCCACCCGCCTGCAGGTAATACCCTCCCGCCCCTAAACCCTCTCCGTGCTTCGTCTTTCCCCTCAAACCCCCCTCAAACCCCTTCGACGCCGGCAATTGTTCTCCCTTCTTGACGTGGGGTATGATTCCCACCCCCACCCACCCAAACCCCATTCTGACCCCCACCCCACCCCCACCCGCACCCTGCCCCCCCATCAGTTCAATGACGCGGTGAGGGCATCTATGATGACGGTGGGGGCGGGAGGGGCACTGGCGTTGGTGCAGCAGCAGCAACAAGAAGAATCGGTGGACGACGTTGTGAATGCGGGTGGCGATGGGCGCGACGCCGCCTCTGAATCCGCGGCTACGGGCGTCGGTGCCGTCAGCGGCGGCGGCGGCGGCGGCGGCGCGGAGGACGTTGCGACGGCGGCGGCTGCCCCGGCAGCCCAAATGGAGCCCGCGGTCTGGCGAGGATGATGAAGATATTGATGTTGCTTTCCTGATTCAGGCCTGACCCGGGGCCGCAGACCCGTTTCTTCTCGCCGCTCCCTCCCCGTCTCCTCCCCCCTGACGTGACAGTAGCGGGAGGAGGGCGGTTGCGAGGTTGGACGTTGAGGCCATGTTGAGCACTAGGGGGCCTCCCTTTTGTATTGGTGCGAATTCGGGGTCCCCTATCACCACACATGCATGTGCTGGTTTTGGTGGGCAGCTGCACACCTTCGACTTTGTCGAATTTGGTCCTGTTGGGTTCCGGCTGACTTACCCACTTGTTGTCGATGAAGAGTTCGTAGACACAGGCAAAAAACAGAGACACTGCGTTGGGGTTCGCAAATTTATCAGCGAGATGCATCAGCTGCTTGTCACAGATGTGGGTTACTATGTGAGAGGTTGAGTAATCGCTGTGGCAGTGCTGGTGTGTAGATGGTGGTGCAAATGGCTTGCAGGCGAGAGGGAGGGGGCCGAAGGCCGTGCTGATGTGGGTGGTCTGATGAATTCGCGTGTCGCGACAAGGAAGACCGGCATGGCACGCGCTGCGGGAGTGTTGTGAGAACGGCGGCAGTACTCGTACGTCTGTGTGTCTGTCCGTGAGCAGAGACTTGGCTCCTGACATCTGACTGGGTGGTGCTTTGGGGAGAAGGGGGACGAGGGAGGAGGAGGAGGAGGGAGGAGGAGGAGGAGGGGGAGGGGGCGGAGGAGGAGGAGGAGGGGGAGGGGGACCGGCACAGCAATGTACAGGGGCGGCCGGAGGCCTACGGGCTGAAGCTGCTGTCCTGTTTAGGCATGGACCCTTCCAATCACCATATATGCCTGTTTTGGCAAGTTAACGACTGGAGAAAAAGAATGCTTTGGCCAGACACGAAACGGTTTGCGTGCCGGTGGTCGCAAAAACCGTTGTTCGCAGCAACCTCGTTACTAGGCCCTCCGTTGGCGCACCGCATTGTGTGCGTTACACGCTGGGCCGCACACCGCACACCGGCACAGTCGACCCACCCGCTACACAACGATTCCTGCATTCGTATAAATAAGAGCAGTGCTTTGCACAGCCGCAGTGTGCGGCGTCCCTTCGCGCCAAAATTTGCGTAGAGATGTATGTCTGTCTCTCGCCCGAACCTCGGTGTGTTTTACCCCCTGACCTCCCTCTCTCGGCCCCACATGAGGACCCAGGCGAGGTGAGAGGACTGGGACCGGGACCAGGAGGACCTTCCAACACTCTCGCTCCTCTCGTGCTCGCTCGCTCGCTCGGGTTGTGTATGAGTCATTCGGGAAAAGGTCTTGTTACGGAAACGGACCTGTAACCCGTTTTCGCTGCTGTTGATGCATCTAGTGCTGCTTGCAGTTGGTTCGCTGCAACTGCTTTGTCTTGCCGTTGCCGTTGAGCCATTGAGCGCTGGGTGGCTGGGTGTTGTACGCTACGCGCGCTGCTGTAGGAGTGCTGCCGATGGAACCGCTGCCAGTGGTGGGGCAGGGGGACAGGGGCTCAGTTGTGTTCCGTTCAGGGACGACCGCTACGCACTGGCCCGCGCCACACCACGACCTTGGGCGGCAAGGCAGCACGGACGTCGTGTGTGTGCCACGTGTCAATTTGTGAGATCCGATCAACCGATTCCAAATCCGGAAGGACGGCGTGAGAGGTGGGAGCCTGTGCAGCGCACACAAGCTGCCCCGCTTGGTAAGGACCGGAGGTCTTGCCACCTTCGTGGGGGAGGGGCCAAGCTCCCCGGTTGCTACTCCTCCCCAGTGCAAAGGACATTGCATTATGTGGAAGATGTGGGCGTGCGCATTGTGCGCGGCTGTAGTACGATAAGGCAATATTTGAGCCTTTCGCTGTGCTTGGGGGTGTGTGGGGGTGTTCATGTGTTTTGTGGGCCGTGGGGGTCTGGGGGTCACTGGGCTCGGTCCAGGTCTGGGTTTCCGTGATTTTTCGGGTTTGGATTTGCTGCTGCCCCCAGGATTATACCCTTCGCCCGCAGCCTGCATCTTGGGGTCCATTGGGTTGGGTTGGGCCAGGGTTTCGGGTGCAGGGGTTCTGTATGCTCCGGGAACTGGTGCATGTGTGTGCATGCGGGTACGCGCTTGTGGGGAAAGCCAGGTAGCATGTGTGCGTGTGTGTGTGTGTGTGTGTGTGTGTGTGTGTTTAATGATCTGAGCCGCGATGAGGGAAGTGCCAATGTTGGTACACGAATAACTTTACCGAAGCGAGCTCCGTAGTCCAGCGACGTGTTGGGATTTTCCAATGAAACTGTAGACGTAGCTTGAATTTTTTCAAGTACACGTTGATTAGGAGAATGATGTCAAGGGCCTGTAGGAATAAGCGGCGCTGTAACTGTGTGTGTGCGCGTGTGCGTGTGCGCGTGTGCGTGTGTGTGTGTGTGCGTGTACGTGTGTGTGTGTGGTGCTTGGAACTGGCACTTGGAAACTGTTATGTATCTGGACGTCGGAGGTCGGCAACAATGTGTTTCATGGCTCGCTCCGTCACGCAGCTCCCTATACGCGCGACGGGTGATAAATCGTTCCTTCGCAAAAATTAACTTCATATAATCGCAGCTACATGCTCTTGTAACCCGTTATAATTGTAAAAGTCTGTGCTGCGCGCGACTCGCAGACATCCACGCAACCCGCATTCACGATCCTTTCCACGACACGTCCAGAGTTCCACATTCATCCCCACGACGTCGGAAACATTCTAACGGTCGGATCGCCCAACCGTGAAGTAAGCAGTTTGTGGCAGTCTCATTCCTCCGACAGTAACACCCCACACACGATCAGCTTACATAGGCGAACCATTTCGGTAAGTACTCCACATGGCCTCCATAAAACCGCTCCCAGCGTACCCTCCCGACATCACACAGCTAAGAGAAGAACTCGCGAGCACATAAGCAGAGCTTAAGCGCAACACAGTTAATTGCCGCTACAGCTGCCCATCAAGAATGCGGCAGTTGTTACCGTATCCAGGGTGGACCTCTATTGGGCCGATGCCGTCACCGCTGCTCCTGCTGGCAATCCGGCGAGCGTGGCCCAGTAGACAGAGCCGATGCCATCACCGTATGCTGCCGAGCGGAGAGTGGTTGCACCTGATCGCCGGCCCCCCTCGGGCTGTGTCGCCGCCGAAGCCACAGCTCAACTACGCCACGCCTGTCCTAAATTATCCTATCCTATCCTGCGCAATCCTATAGCCAAGCTGCCGCGGAGCGTTGCGTGGCCTTGCGGGCAACTCGTTGCGCAGGGCAAAAGCACAGCAGCCCCAAACGGCCAGCCAGCCGGGCGACCAGTCGATTGCCTAGACGTCGGGTGATTTGGTGCTTAAAGAATCCTCGCCAGCTCTGCTCTGATCTTATCCACCTGCTGCTGCCGCTCCTGGTGCTGCTTCTCCAGCAGCTCCAGCTCGCTCAGCACCGGGGGACCCTCCTCAGCCTTCGTAGATACACGTCCATGGGCGTATGCAGAGGACCAGGGTACACGGACGGACACACGGTTTCAGGAATTCACGACTGGGCACAGATTAGCATGCATGCGCATGTGTGCGTCTCGAGCATGGTTGCATAGCCCATCATTGGTGTAACCTGGGGGACCATACATGCCGGGAGCCATGCATGTGCATCGAAAGGTAGGTGCACCAAGCTCCCCGTGCATCGAAAGGTAGGTGCACCAAGTCTAGTGTGTCCGAGAGGCAAGAGGGAACAATAAAGGAGCAGCACCGAGATAAACCTCTCAGCGGCTCCTTTGCCCCACTCACCGCCTCCCCAGACTGCGACGCCGCCGTCTGCTTCTTCGGTTTGGGCTCTGGCTTTGGGATGTTCTTGGCGAACTGCAACGCCCTCTCCCGTGCACTAAGCTCCTTGTCCTTGTCCTTTGGCTCCCGAGGCGCCGGACTAATGGGACCAGCACCGAGGCCCCCCCCGGCGGCAGCCCCGCTGCTGGGTCCCGCACCCGGTCCAGCAGCTGCCGCTGATCCGTCTGGACCGGATCGTTGCCTTGCGCGGCTGTTGGCTCTCCGGGCGTTGTCCTCACGCACCTGTTCCGCCATTTTCTTGATACGTTCCTTGGCCTCTCGCTAGGGCAAAGGAAGAGGACATGCAAAACATTAACAATGCCAACCCAGCCCGAGACCAAAGCGAGCGGTGTATAACAAGTGGCCCAAAAGAGTCAACATCCTGCTCGGATAACGAATTAACGGCATCAGTGCCTTTTCGAGCTGTCGAGGAAAGTGGAGGACCGTACTACGAGCCGGGCTTTACATCGTGGCCACCGTCGCCAGCGTGCTCGCTCAAGTCCCGGTCCTGTCGGGAGCCCTGTCTTAGTTCTCCCGGATCTACCACATGTCGACATCATTAAAACTTCCCTGCCATTCCCCGCCTTGCTCTTCCCAAATTCCGCGTCCCCGCCTCCCTCTCTCCCTCCCTCCCTAGCCTCACCTTGGCCTGCAGCTCCTCCGTCTCCAAATCGGGCCCCAGCTTGCCCAATTGCCAGTAGCCCCGACCCGCCTTCACGTTGTACTCCTTCTCCTCAAAGTCCTGCATATAATAGCCCCAGGATAGGTCGGCAGGGCCCGCGGAGATCAGGCGGCAAGGGACAGGCAGCAACGCCAGGTATGTGGGTGGGTTGGTAGGTTTCTGGGTATGTGGGTGGCTACGCATTAAGTAGGCGACACCCCCAAGAAAGCAGTTACCTGAGCCGAGCGAAGGCAGGGGGTCACCATAGGGGGGGCACGGGGGGTTACGAACCCCTGGTTCGTAAGCCCCATTCGGCAGCACAGTCCTCACGTGGCCACCAAAGAGCGAGTGTGTCAAACAGATCATTGGCTGTGGATCACAGGTGCACTGCCAAGAAGAGTAACGCATGTGTCCCACATACCTTGATGTCGTAGGGCTTAAACTCGACAGGCCGCGGCTTCCGGCTGTACGGCAGGCCTTCCCGTTCCGGTGAGGTCGGGGAGCCCCCGCCGTTGGCGCCTGCGGGTGCCCCAGCCGGTGCTCCTGCTGCTGCAGCGCCCATCGCCGCTGCCATGGCCTGAGCCGCAACAGACGTCAGAAGTTCAACAACATAACAATAACAACTGGGGGAAGCAATCTCACGAACGACACAGCTTAACGTTGGTGTATTCAGACATGCCCTCACTTACACCCTCCCCACAGCTATGCGAGGACTAGGCCGCAAGCAGGCTACGCCCCTCCTCAAACCCAACAACAGCTTCCCAGGCATCACTCCCACTGCGCCTTCCAGCCTCGGCCACGAAACAACACATCCCGTCACATAGATATGCAAGCTGAGGTGTGCTGCCATTCACCCACGCACCTGCTGTTGCTGTTGCTGGTACTGGTAGAGTGCTTGCTGATACACCAGCTGTTGCTGGTCGGGGCTATACCCCGCCGCCACCGCCTGTTGCCGCACCTGCTCCGCATAAGCCAACGCATACGCAGCCGCATAGCCCCCGCCAGCCGCCACGGGCATCGCCCCCGCCATAGCCATCCCTGCCGGTGCCGCAGGTGCCACTGCCGCTGGCGGCTGCTGCCTTGGGCCTCCCCTCCCAGGCGAGATTGACCGCCCCGGCGCTGGCCCCGACGGCTGATGTTGCGGCTGCTGCATCTGCGCCGCATATCCGCCCGCAGGTTCCATGCCTGCTGGTGGCGCTGGGTAACCGTACCCGCCACTGTACCCGTACCCGTAACCGCCGCCACCGACCACGGGCCCCTGGCCTGAATACTGCGCCTGCGCTTGCGCGTAGCTGCCATAGCCATTCCCTTGCTGTTGTTGTTGTTGTTGTTGCAGTCCCATGGCGACGTGCTGGTACATGGCTGGGCTGCCACCGCCTTGCTGCATGAGCATGGACATGGGCGTGTAGTCCGCCTGTCCGCTGCCTCCACCGACAGCTGCCGGGCTCCTGTTGGCGCCTCCGCCGCCAAAGTACATTGCACCAGGCAGCTGCAGTAGGGCCGCGATGGGCAGCGCAGGCGTGCATATCATCATGTATATGCATTAGAGGACACGCCTTGGCCAGGGCGCGGCGTGTGGTGGGGTCGCACTGACACAAAACAGCAAGCCCAGCTCTGTACACATTTACACAGTACATACATACGACGCACAGTTCAAGAAAGATATAGGTGATAGGCTAGACGAAAGCACTGGGCGATGCTAAATGCTATTGGCGCATTCCGCATCGGTTTTCTTAAGGCTCCATAGCTGCAACGGGTGCTCAAAGCAGGCCTGTCCGCCTGCCCAAGCAATGGTATCTCATACCTGGCCATGTTGCTGCTGCTGCTGCTGCTGCTGATGGTCGTACTGCACGGGGAGGGGCACGTAATCGGGCTGGCCGCTGGTAGAGGCATCGTACCCGCGGTCCCGAGCCGGCGGCCCCGCGCTGCGCTCCGGACTTGGGGCCGGGCCGCCCTGCACCTTGGAGGCCCTTTACGAAGGGAAAGGTCAAAACGGGTGGATTAGGCCAGGTTGGGTTTACAGTCCTGACCCTTGGATGCAAGACAACCGTAGGATATTGTAAAGCAGTGGGCAGGCATGGATCTCTGGTGAGCCCTAGGAAAGTTTGGAACGCGGCTGCAGGAAGGTGTCTTGTGAACAATGCCCTGGGTTACGGTTCGAGTATGCTTTGACACGGACACATCACGCCGTACGGGCCTGCCAAGATAACATCAACTGTTCGCCCCTTCCTCCCGTGCTCTCCCACAGGTGCCCGACTTGACGCTTGGGCTATAAGGTGACCTTTTCAACCCCGCACCCTAGCCTTGCGTACGTTCGCCACTTACTCGTAGCTGGGGCTGTGGATGAAGTTGAATATCGCCTGCAACACCTCTACCGCGGCATCACCTTCCGCAGCCATAACTGCCTCGATTTGGCCCCGCTCTATTGGGATCCGTTTGCGCTGCAGCACAAGGGGTACGGAGACAACGTTCATACCCCATATGCCAAAGCAGCCCCGGATAGTTTTACCTCTTACTTTAATTACTTTCTCCAGCAGGGCCCAATTGGATTTTTTTCGCTCCATACTGGCGACGTTCTCAAAGGAGTGCATTTGCACGTCAGCTGGGTAATACCGGGACAAGATCTCAGCGTATAAAAACCCATTTGCAAAGTCTCTGCAGGCCAGAAGATGTCAGTTTTAGTGTTGCGGCAAGAGAAAATGGACGCCTACTGAGCTGCCCAACCCGCGCCCATCGTCTAGCCTTGCCTTTTTGGATTTTTGACAGCATAAGATAGGTCTAAGCTTAAAATCCATTTTAAAACCTCTCTCGGTAATCCGCAAGACATCCTCGGCGGAGGGAACGGATATAACCTGTTCAGATTGAGACCCGTTTTCCAAACTCTTTCGTCAACAAATCAAGCCATCAGCCGAAGGTTTATTGTTTCTGCATATCGACAAGCACTTCTGCACTTGAGAAGCTTTTGACAGGTGTCGCCGTACACATCGCCCTTGGCCTTCGCTCTGTGTCACACAATTCACGATGCACACACCACACAAGGAGAGAGCCCTACTTCTGCATGGCAAATTTGGCTATGTGTATTTGGCTACCTGCTATTAGGGTCTAGCTGTCTGTGCTGCTGCTCGCTTATTTACACTACTCTGCAAGTCTGCATACAGTATTGCACGAGGATCGAGTGGAGCATTGACTGCAACTTCATGTCTTAGCATAATCTGGACTCGCAGCATCTGAGAGGACGTTCGCAAAAAGCTTATCGGGGAAATGGTGCGTGTCTTTATTCGCGCAAGTCATAAACTGCACAGTCAACGGATCCATTCACATCATCATGTCACGGTTGTCTCCAATTTACACCTGGGTGTTAACTGTATATTCCGGCTTTAGACTCGGGCTTCTTGGAGCGTTCCGGCCCTGCGGGTCATTGCGTCACGGCTTGCGAAGTACCCCGTCCAAGCGTATCATGCCGCGCTAAGCACGTTCTGAGATTAGCTCTCTATACTCCTTGCAATACATCAGCAAGCTTAGGCAAGCCTTGTCTTGTCTGTGCCCTAGTTGCCCTTGATTCATGCACACCGCCTCCACGTAACCCAACCCAACACAGACCGGCTCCTCGGAACCATCATCCTCATCTGTTCGGCCTCAAGTCACAGCCGGCAGCGCTGTCGCTGGCACGTCTGTAACAACCGAGGCAGCCGCACCTACGGCAGCAGCCTGCCTTGTAATGGCTGATGGCAGCGGTGTGGACAATGATCTCTCCATACAGTTCCAACTGTTGTCGGCGGCCATGGAGGCCCGCATGCGGCAGCTGAACCAGCAGGAGGAACAGATCAGGCAGGCGGAGGTGCGTTGGGCACTTGGAAGGTGGACTGTCTAGGGGTGTGCGAGGGTCTGTGACTGGGGCTGTGTGCGGCCCTCATGCCCGCGCAGCGTATCGCGGGCTTTCATGCCCACTTGTGCGTTGAATTTTACCGTGGGCCAGGCCAATCAAGATCCAGTCTGGAATGCTAAAGGGAATGCAACGCACATGCGTTCCATGGGGCTGCAGTTCCCTCACTAGGGGGATGATGCGCGACCTTGATGCGGCTCAATGTCCGGAGAGTGGCAATGTAATAGCTTCTATGGCAGGGTAGACGTTGCTTAGATGGCTGACGGATGAATTGGTTTTGGAGGTTGGGGGATGGAAAATTGGGGACCCTCTACGTGCATGGCGAGGAAGATCCGCGATGCAATGCCAGCTAGCCGGTGCCTAGCCAAAGGAGGGAGGGAGGGAAACGGCTTTCCTTTCTTCTGCAGAGCTGGGGAGCCTGCCACCAACCACAAGTCCGGTTGCAGGAGTTGGAACAAATAAGCTCCTCAGAAGCCTGCGGAAAGTCCGCGGGGAAGTTGCAATCTTTTTTCCAACACCCTCCAACTGATTTTCCTTTGTCCCTCTGCCCTTTTCCCGCCATCTGCCCGTGTTGTAGGCCGCCCTGTCCGCCGCCTCGCAGCGCATGGCGTCCTTGTCCGCCCGTATGCAGTCCGACCTCATCCCCCTCAACGTGGGCGGCACCCAGCTGGCCACCAGCCGCCGCACCCTGACACTGGTACCCGACTCGCTGCTGGGAACCATGTTCAGCGGGTCATGGGATGACCACCTGCAGCGGTAGGGTGGGGTGGGGGGAGGGTATGGGAAGGAACTTCAGGCAGGAAGGAAAGGGTGATTGTATCGGGGCCTGGGGCTTTGATGAGCGGACCGTTGTGGGGCAGGAAGGAAAGGCGTTTGGGGCCCGGCCAAGGGGCCGTGCGGGCACGGTGGCAGGGCGGCAGCTGTCCAGAGTTCAAAGGAGCCAGCAGCAGAGAGATATTGACGACGTGCAACTCCATTCAACACCCCAGGAAGGAGGTGACCGCGGATATCACTTTCCTCCCCTTCCGTTGCCCTACAAATCTCATTTAGCCACATTTTGCCGCCAGATCCTGTCATTGTTTCGGTCGGCTGTTCTCTAACCCTGTCCCCACGTCCCCCGCGCATGCCGGATCTCCCCTGCCATTGGATGATGCGGATCCAGTGACGACGCTGGTCGTGTGTTCCTGGACTACGACCCCTCCATCTTCTCTCTGTTGCTCAACTGGCTCCGCTCTCAGGACATGGGCGGCCCGGAGGTGCCGCTGTGGGAGCTGGCAGTGGAGCCCGCCAGGGAAGAGCAGGTGGGCACTGGGCGGCAGCGTGGGGAGGGAAACCACTCGAACAGACCCGTGGGCCAGGGCGATATGCCAGGCGTGTGTGCGCTTGTGTTCGTGGTGGCCAAGTGACCATCTTGGCGGGATGGTGGCTGAGGGCTACGTGAGGGAATCATTATTGTGCTTTGGAAAAGGGAGGGGCGAGGAGGATCTGATAGCGGGTGGGAGCTGGCTATGGATCTTGGCGGGGGCTGCCCGCGTTCGTGGCTTGTCGGGGCTCTTTGTCCGTTCATCTCCACCTACCCTCCTACTCACTTCCCTCCTTAGCCCCGCTCGGCTCCTCCTGCCCCGCCGCCCCCATACTTGCAGTTGCTGGTCCTGATTGACTTTCTTCAGCTGCAACGCTATGTGCCGTGCAGGTACGTGGGTAACGTGCATGCCTGCGCTGGCGTTCTCTTCCCCTGCGCCCGCGCCCCTTTCCACCCAGGTGGCCGCCCGTTGCCGCCAGCCTAACCGGTCCCCGCTCGCCTCCTCTTGAGACCGGCAGTTACCTTACGGCTTCCCTGTTCCATATATGTTTCCCCCGCTCCCTCAGGTTCACCGAGTCCTTCAGCCCCTCCCTGAGCTCCCCCTTCCTGACGCTGTCCTCCTCCTCTGCATGGCGCACCTCCGCGGGCTGCCAGGGGGCTTATGCCATGGCCGCCACGTCACACTGCTACTTTGATGTAGACGTGGACCTGAGCCTGGAGATCATCCGATTTGGGGCGGTGACAAGGTGCGGGGCTGATGCTGCTTGGTGGTTATGCTTCTTGTTCCTGCTGCCGGCCCTTGTTGCTGCTGGTGGTGGTAGATCATCGCTTTTTTCAATTGTGCCCTTGCGCTGCCCTGCCCTCTCTTCCTCCACACCCCTTGCCCCTCTTGACCCCTCGCCTCGACTCTCTTTCGCAACCCCAGGCCTGAGCCCCTCCCCAGTCGCCGCTCCAGTGACAGCGGCGGCTCCGAGCTGCCCAACTACCCCATGTTCATAGGGGTGATGGCCCGGGGGCAGCTGGCGGCAGTAGACCAGAGCCGGAAGAAGAGCAATGCAAGCTGGTGCGTTTGCATGGCCCAGGCAGTTACTCTTTTCATGGGCGTGTTAGAAGAAAGGGTTGCGGGGGGTGGGGTGTGGGATGCGGCGGCAGCGTGCGGTTGTAGAACAGAGCCGCGGATGTGATGGAAATACGGGAGGCAAGGTGGAGGTGGAGGTGGCAAGGTGGAGACGCGGGGAAAGGCTTACCGTAGCGCACTGGAGCATGTTAGGCCGTTGTGGACAACTGACCGCTGTAGCAATGCAATCCAGGGGCTCGAGCTTCCACTGAGCTCACTGAGTACATACAAAGTCTCTTTGCTCGGGGCAGTGTAGCGATGTATGCGTGTCGATGGTGGATTACGTCTTGACGATGACGCTGGGTCTACCACCCGGTTGCGCACCCACCCGTCAAACCCTCCTCAGGCAGAGCTCCTGTCACGGCTGGTATACCCGGCGCAAGGAGGGGTGTGAGGTGCGGGCGGGGAAGAACAGGCGGCTGCAGAGCACGGTGAGTGGATTGGCAGGTCTGTGTAAATGCAAGTGTGTGCACGGCTACACCCAAAATTGTTCGCCGACGCCAGTTGTACGTGGGCTAACTAAAACTACCGTGTTCCCTTCCATAGCGCTCCTCCGTAGCACTCTGGCGGCGTTGGTGCCTGGTCCCTCTCCTTGCGTGCATGCCCCATCACGTGTCCCTTACATCCCTTTCAACCCCAATCTTCCCCCCCCCCCCGCTTCGACCCTTCCTCAGCATTTCTGGGCCGAGGGCGACTTCCTCGTTCTGTCCCTAGACGCCGCCAAACACCCTGGCCGGACCGGCGCAGTAGCAAGCACCGGACCAACCGCCAGCGGGCGCAGCGGCCAGAGCACCTCCGGCGATGGCAGCTGCGCGAACGGCAGGGCCGCCGCTGATGCTGGTCCTGGTGCGGTTGCCGCGCACTCCGGTCCCGTCGTAACGTTGTCCCTGACTAACACCCGGACCAGAGCCCAGCTGCAGTTGGACATCCCGCCGACGTGCTTGGGAGGGTTTGAGGTGGGTCGGTGGAAGGGGCAGAAGCTAGAGGGGTAAGAAAACGAAAAGATGGGGATAGGGACGGGAAGGGGATGGGATGGGAGGGCTTATGAGGTGGCGTAGAAGTGTGTGATGTTGATCTGGAGTACCTTCCCCTGAGGCTCACCACCATCCGTAAGCCTGCATGCCGCTCGCGCACCCCTCTGCCCCCTTCCCTCCGCCCTAAAACCCCCGGGCACCATTAAACCTTAACATTAACGGGCGTATCCCCACAACATGCGGCCTTGCTGCGTCCTGGCGATCCGAAACCCATTTATTGCTCGGTCTCGCCGCCGCTTACTCCTCTTTCCAGGAGCAATGGGTTGTGGTTGTGGGGCTGTCGGGGCGGGGCGACGAGGTCCGCGTCAACTCGGCCCGCCGCAAGGGCATGAAGCCGCATATGGAGGCGGTCACCGCTGCAAGACCGCCCGATGGCGCCTCCGCTGCACCAACCAGTGTTGGGGCAGGTGTGGGTGCCGGTATTGCCGGTGGGGCAGGGGTAAGGGAAAGGGGGCAAGCGGCGACGATGGCGGGGGCAGCAGTGGCTTCTTCACGAGCGAATGGCGCCGGTGGTGGTGGTGGTGTGGCGGCAGCAGATGGGGTGGGAGAGCAGGGGGCAGCGCGGCGGGCGGGAGCTGGCGGTGGCGGCGACGTGGGCCGTGGGGCCGGTGTGAGGGGAGCACAGGGATTGAATTTAGTTAGGTAGGAATCGGGGATAGAAGATTCTGTGATTTGGCTAAAGTGTTTTGTATTGCCAAAATATCACGATAGGTAAGAAAATGATTTAAACACAGCTATCGCCACTGGCAAAAGGTTCCATCGGAGATGCGAGAAATTGCATTGTAGCTTTTCCGGCAATAGGGCTGGCGTGCTTGCCGTGCATTTGCACGCATACACCACCTTTGCAAGGGCTTCCCTGCGGCTCAAGGTTTGCACTTGGGGGGTTATATGTGGGGATGCTGTCGCTAGGTGGTGAGATGGGAAGGGCAAGTCGGAGGTCCAGGCATGTACTGCCTTTGGAACTATGCAAGTGCATGTTTGGTGCTTGTAGTTGCGAATGCGTTTCCTAGGGGGTTTTGGTAGTTCCAGACCGCGCTTGCTGGAGATGCTGCTGGTGTTAAACCTCGGCCAATTGCGATAAGATTTCCGTTTGGAGGGTTAGTCTGGGGACAGTGCTGCAGCAGACAGTAGTTGGGGCGATGATGATGATGAGGATGCAGACGGTGAGGATGTATAGGATGGTATATATATCAACTTGCACTCGTTCTTTTGCGAGCATTGAGGGATCGGATGCCGCGGACACTACAGCCTTAATTATTATTTGCTGGCGGTTTTTTCACGAACTTGTGCTCAACGCTCAAGCATGCTGACCGGCGATTATGCTGGGCTGGTGGGCTGGTAACCTTTGTGCAAGGACTAAGTAGCAGCATGAGTGGCTCGTCCAATGCGCCCATCCAAATATGCAAGGCTCGGGTTGCGTGTTTCAGGTACAGACATCGGGGCACCGGTGACTACGCATACGGTAATATACGTAACAAGTCGAGCTTGACCAAACATTGCATTACATGGCCTAGAAAAGAGCAGGTCTTCGCAAGAGCAGGTGTGACAGGGTGTGTCTACGCCTTGAAAACCTGATAAACGGCACTGGAAGAACACTTAACGTCGGCGAGTTATGGCAAGTTACGACAAACTTGTCGAGCTATGGATGCGTCCCCAAGGATGGATGGCTTAGCCAGTTGGGGAGACAACGTCCGCCTGGTCTCGCCTGTTCGTGGGGAGGTCCAATTGCTCCCCAATGAAAGGTGCTCTGGGACCGACCACACAACTGAGCCTAAAAACGCTGCTTTAAAAATTTCGACCCTTACAGACGCCTGCACTGTTCAAGTTCAAGCCCCAATTGTCCAAACCTGCATGCCGTACCATAGCCGCTGCGACATTTCCGTCTAAGGGTTTATATGTAGGACACCATGCTAAAAAATTCAGACTTCACCTTGGGTCAGGCCCTCCCCGCACCCGCCAAAACCCCAGCTCTCAACGCACGTGGCAGCCCTGATTCCACTTGGTGGACACAGCGCATGACAACTCTGACGGTCTTCACAAATTTTTCTCCGGCAGCATGGAAGCTTTCTTTGGTACTCCGCCTGCCTGCAGGACCTGGAAAGCGGTCAGCGTGTATGCATTCTGGTCCAGGTGCAACTGCAGCAACAGCTGCCTCCCTGCAAGCCCCTGAGTTGAGACCTCAATGGCAGCACTGGACAGTAGCTGCACCCGACGGGTGTATTAAGGCACTGCCTGCTCAGTTTCCACCTGAATCAACCGCAGCTCCTCCTCCGCACACCGTGCTCATCCTTGGTAGATGTACAGCCGTGATGCCGCCAAGTGATGAACTCCAGTTACCTGTCGCCTCTCAGCGAGCCTGATCAAAGCTGTGTCAGCTCCATTGAAAGGCAAGCCAAGGGGGGCCATATATGCTGCCATGTCAAATGTATCCAATCTCTGCAACTTTTCCAGAGCGAGCCGGTACCTAGCGCGACCACCCGGCCAGGTACTTTGATAAGTAGATGGCCCCGTCCGCTGTTGCTGGCAGCATTAACTGCCCCTGCCGGCCTCTTGTACAGTAAAGTACAAGCTGCATTATGAACCAAGAGGTTTTGGGTTGCTGACAGACGTATCACTTATCCAACACTTTAACACATCTCATATAGTGACTTGCTGGTTGCTGCAGCCAGCAGGCTGCTCTCCAATCTGGCTATCCGTTTTTGGGCTGCCTCCAGGGCACACTGTGCCCTTACCTTCATCCACCACATATGGAAAGGCAGGCCTAGCAAGACCTGGTGGCAGCACAACCGCCATACACGCTCCAGGTGTCGCGGTTGCCTGGGGCCATGTACTGGTTGACAGCTCCATGCGGTCCCACGACACTTTTCGAGACCTCAGCTGGCTCGCCAGTTCCTCGCCCCACTCCTTCTACATGGAGATGCCCGAACACCTTCTGGCACGAACACCTGTGGAGGGCGAAAACCATGCTATTTACAGGAGGACCCCTTTAGAGGCGCCGATTCATGGTGACACAGTCGCATGCAAAAGTGCCCCAACAGAAAAAACAGCCCCTACCTGTGTGTGCCCCCTCCACCATGCCCCTTCCACGTTCTTGCATGTCCGGACCCCACTCCAGCAGCCTCTTTGTGTACGAGCGGCCCCCGCGGCAGGTGCTACCACCAGAATTACACCGCCGTACCCGAACATAAAAGCGATTGCACTGTCGAGGTGCAGTATGCATGAGGCGTAGAAGCACGCCACGAGGCGGCACAGCACGACCCCAAGTGCTGAAAGTAAGATAACAACAGCTCTTCAACAAGGCTTTCCCAAATTTGTACTAACCTTTTGGGAATCTGCAGCAAGACCTTTATCTGAATTGATGTTAGAGCGGGAGTTCGGGCCACGATCCTGTGATGCTGCTCGGTCACCCAGAGCTGCCCGTTGCCAGTGAGGAACCTGCGCCGGGGTAGCTGGGAGTAACCTTTCGTGTACACTGGATATGTGAGAAGGTTCAGCTTAAAGTTGCGTCAAAGTGCACTGAATGCATAAATTGTGGCCCTGGCCCAGCTTCCTCTACACCACCAGTGAGGGGCAAACCGCAGGCCGGGATCTCCAGCTAGTGGCGACTGCCCGTCCTCGTCTGCACCCTCCTGCTACTGCTGTGGAGGCGGTGGTTGCTGGCGCTGCTGGGCCGGCAGCGGTGGTGGTTGCTGGCGCTGCTGGGCCGGCAGCGGTGGTGGTTGCTGGCGCTGCTGGGCCGGCAGCGGTGGTGGTTGCTGGTGCTGCTGGGCCGGCAGCGGTGGTGGTTGCTGGTGCTGCTGGGCCGGCAGCGGTGGTGGTTGCTGGTGCTGCTGGGCCGGCAGCGGTGGTGGTTGCTGGTGCTGCTGGGCCGGCAGCGGTGGTGGTTGCTGGTGCTGCTGGGCCGGCAGCGGTGGTGGTTGCTGGTGCTGCTGGGCCGGCAGCGGTGGTGGTTGCTGGTGCTGCTGGGCCGGCAGCGGTGGCAGACCACCACCGCAGCAGGGGCATCCATTTATAGACCCATGTAAAGACCCTAGGAACTATCAATGAGCCCCCGGAGGTAGTGGTAAACCGTAACGCTTGGCGGCACCCGCTTGCGCAACGTTTAAGTGACAGATCCTTACGGCGGACACACATGGTTCTTTTCCCATACTGCCACCATTGCAGCACAAGCTCACATGCCGTGTGCGGAAGGCCAGCACGTCGAACCGCTGCAGGAGGGTTTGATGCCACCAGATCAGGTTGCGCCTCAGGGAAATGTCCAGGGCCACTTGGGTGTCTGGAAGGCAGTCCACTTCCACCAGAGTGGCACTGAAGTGGGTGCGACAATGCGGGCAACACTTGGTTTGCAGGCTGCTCCCAGAGGAGTATGGTGATCGGGCAACTTTGGCCCCCATGCTGCCCAGCTGAGCTGCATCGGGGGCATTCCCTGCCTGCTGTTCAGACTGCCTCAGTGATAGCCGTGCGCTGCACTGCAAGCAGCGCCCTGCGAGTATTGCCCGCTGAAAACAAATTATGCAGAGGCTAAATCCTCTCTGTACGGCAGCTCCTGACGTGCTTCAGGAGCTTCACGGCCTTGCTCCACTGTCACTGTCGTCCACGTCCTCGGGACCTGAGCCCGCTGGAAGCCACTCATCAACATCCGCAAAGGCTTCCAGGTTCTGGTTTTTTGGAGCGGGCTGGAAACGGCCATCTGGTCCTGCAGTGAGCGCCAAATACTCTTCCGCTATGTGGTACGGGGCCAGGCTTTCCGGCAATCTTAAAATCCTTTCAGTACCGGTCGACCTTTTCCGCGAAAGTCCTGATTTTTGGCATCGCTAGACGGGCTTTAGAACACCAGGGTAACATAACACCAAGGGTAACATTGTATATTGTTGTGCTGCTGTTGTTGTTCAAGGGGTTGTTGCAAGCCTAGCCGCGCAGCGACAATGGTACGGCATGTAGATTTGAACCATTGGGGCTTGAACTTGATGTGCACAGTGCAAGCGCCTTTAAGGAGCAAGCGTTTATCAAGTAGTGTTTTTATGAAAGCAACTTTCATTGGGGAGCAATTGGACCTCCCCACGAACAGGCGAGACCAGACGGACGCTGTCTCCCCAATTTGCTAGGCCATCCATCCTTGGGGATGCATCCATAGCTCAAGCTAATTTGACCTGCCTACGGATTATGTCGTATTCGCATGCGGCCGCCGGGAGAGATTCATGTATTCACATTGGTGTGGGGAAAACGCAAATATCTGACACTACGACAGCAACATCCCTGAAGAGCACTGGACTGAATTGGCAACTGGTGTGAACTAAGTCGCCCTGGCCCCTGGAATGTGAGAAGGACCTCTCGAAGCATTTACTGAATTCTGCGGGTTGGACGTACCCAGTTGCATAAAGGATGCACATTTGTCGTTACGATTCGTTTGTCAAGAGGCCAAGTAACATAAGGAGAACGTTTTTGCACTGACCAGGATTACGGTAGTTTCTAGCACCATCATAGGGATATGCCGTTTGTTTTTTGTAGCTTGCTTCCTGTTATGGCCCGCAGCAGCTTGGCAGTTAGGCTGGATTTTCGGTTCAAGCCCTCGTTTGGACCAAAGCTCGATATATCAACACTCTAAGGAAGTATTATTCTTGCGTAAGACTTGGTTGATAGCAATTGGCATGCATAAAGGAGTATATAGGGTGACCTTGGGTTTCAGAAACTAGAGCATTTACAATAGATAGCTCTGCATAATCAACCGGCTCTGGACAGTAATCATCACTTAGCGAAAACATCTCACTGCCTAAAGGGTTGAGGCCGCGTCAACAACGCAGATAGTGACAAAGATACGAAACGCACCGTCTTTCTTATTTTCACGATGAAGAATGACCTTCTATAGCATGAGCCACGTTAATGAACATGCCTTTTCGCAAATTGAGGACGCACCTAATAGGTATGCGTGTCAGCGTCCATTACTTAATCCCCTCCGGATAAATGGAATTGTTAAAGGATGCAAATGTATAAACAGTATAGCTTTGTAGTTGTATGCTGCTAGTTTACTGGACAGGGTGACCTTCATAAGCCCCCAACATGGTCTGACTCAAGGACTCAGTCATCAACTCAATGCTGCACTAGACGAATCTTATGTACTTCCGTATCAAGCACTAACTTGCTGATTACAGTGCGTTCCTGCTTCTTGTGGACGACTCAAGGACTTGACTTCCTCTTATTTCAGCGGCTTCCCTTCCGGCAATGGAGGACGTACTTAAACTTCTAGCGGCCGGCGCAGATGTTACACCGTTTACATTTCCAACAGGACTTCTAGGTGCTGGACCGGGCCCTGGCCTCGGCGCGACGAACCTTGTAAGCTCATTGTTTCAGTCGCTGGAGTTGCGGCCTTCGGTCCAACGGGTTCACTGCTGCTGCCGGCGCTCTGACAGTCTTCATAGACTTGCAGCCAGATGTGCTGTTAATTTCAGGGGTCTGGGCATAGAGTGTAGGCTTATTACTAACCAATGGTCTCAACTCACGTGTAAGCCTTCAGTCATTTACCGCGCCTTGGGACTGCTCGCTGTCGAACGCACAGGACCTTGCGCTGGCTCTTCAAACAGGTGGATTTCCATCCTTTCTCATGGGCTCCTTAGGGTCGGGGACTGGTGCCCCACTCCCACTGCCGCAAGCGTTGGCGCTCCCGTCTTTGGAGTTGCCCAAGGTGCGCGGATCCAACGTACGCTAAGCCGGCATGTAATTAAATTGAAGATGATAATTTATTTTTTCCTGCTTTTCCTGTGCAGCTTCTCAGCCTTGACGTGGGCCTCGAAGGAGGAGGCCCCGGACCTAGCAACCGAGCCATGGCTGCTGCTGCCGCATCTTTTGACAATGGCAACAGCTCTGATCCAAGTGGCTCTGGTGGCAGCGGGCCGCCCAGAAGCGCACGGACTTCCGCGCGTCAACAGCAGCTGCAGCAGTTGCAGCAGCAGCAACAACAATACCACGAACTTGAAGCGCTGCAACCTATTGCGGCAGCCCACGCCAAGCGTGACCTAGATCAACCGACTCCCGCTGGTAGAAACAAGCGGTCAGGGCCAGCGGTAGGGCAGGACGCGAAAGTGGAGCTGAAAGCCGACCCTGCTAGAGGGCAGGCAGCAGCAGCAGCAGCAGCGGCCGCGGCTGCATCCGCCGCGGCGGCTGCAGTTGCAGGGGTGGATCGGACGGAGATGCGGCGGGCGGAAGCGAGGCAGCTTCAGAAGCAAAACATGGACGATGGATCGAACTCCGACGGTTCAGATATGTCGTCAGGTGCGGGTCGCGGCCCGAAGTCATGTCGAGGTCCACCTGGATTGTGGTTCTGCATGCGGGCGTGCGGAGGTGAAGGTGCACAGCCCAAGCTCCCATCCGCATTGCACAGGCGGTTACAGCCGTGAGGGGTCACGGCTGGATTATGCCATGGTTATGCCGAGAACGGGGCGCTGAGAAAAGAATACGACGTGGGGTGAAAGGCCAATAAAACGGCAGTTCAGACATGTCATGTTTAGAGGCAGGCAGTGGCCTTGTGAGCCCTTTGGGGCTGTTCCCAGTGGTATATTGCTCCACCTGAAAGCCGCGTCTCTTTGATCAAATCTACATCCGCTATCTAGCGGGCGCCTATCCTGTGGGGTTCTCCAGACGACGCCACTAGAGGGAAGGGAGAGAGGGAGAGATACACACACACAGAAGGGGGGAGAGGGACAGGCAGAGCGCGCTGGGGTGGTATCCGTGGTCTCCCTGGATTTCTCGGGTGTACCAGGGGCCTTCGCGCTACAAGGGCCCGTACAAGGGGGTTCACCTTCCCTGGCCTGAGGGTGGCACCGGGGACTCGCTGCGGTGGCATTGGAGATCAATCACCTTTTGTACAACTGAGGCGAGGTCCCTGTGCCATACCATGCACGCAGCAATACACACACACGCACACACGCACCAGCTCCAAGCCACCTAAGCACTAAGCTTCTGACGTTTTGCGGCATGTTAACGATGCCCCTCATTAACAACAAGCTACCTGCCCACGCTCCCGTTGATGATCATCTTAGATTCCGGGGGCGCCGCCCCGCGCTCGGCGCCTAACCGAGGTGCACGTCGGGGCGCTGCCGCCGCCAAGGACCCCGTGGCGCGCGCTCAGATGCGGCAGTTGAAGAAGCGCGACCTAAACCGTGAGGCACAGCGGCGGTTTCGCGACCGCCAGAAGGCGGCTCTGGCGCTGCTGGAGTCCACCACTCAGAGCCAGCAGCGGGAGATTGAGGCCCTGCGACTGACTAACAAACTGCTGGAGGAGCAGTACCGGGTGGGTCGCTGACCTGCGAACACCCTGCAACCCTAGAGCAACTTAACGTTCGTTTGGCAGTGTGTGAGAGAGAGTGTGTGTGTGCGTGTGTGCAATGTAAGGAACGTCGCACGCAAGAAACATGAGGTGAGGTGGGCTTGGTGACGCAATTGTGATGTCGAGTTCTCTCCTCTCACATCTTCCGCTACCTGTGTGTGTTGGTGTTTACTGGCGGTGGCTTCAGTTGACCTACTGCGTGGCCGTCCTCCGGTATGGGCGTGGGCTGAGTTGGTGAGTTTTAATTTTGATCGGCCACGGTGTTGTTCCTTTCCGTGTCCTGCAGGTGCTTATGGAGCAATACAAGACGCTGCATCTACGGTTCGTCGCCGTGCAAATGAAGACCCAGGCCAAGGTGTAATAGACGTATCCCATTAATGAAACACCCGCCCAGCGTAAGGCTATGGTAGACACCGGGCACTGCAGTGGGACTGGTTCGTGGCTCTAGGAACTGGGTGCTGCTGCTGTTCGCCCTTCAGCAGCGGTTGCTGCAGTGGGTGAAAGATGGAGGCTCAAGAGTACGGTCAGTTGGCACAACGCAACCATTACAGATGTGCCTCGAAAGACGACCTTGAGGGGCCCGATGCAATTGTGTGGCGAGCCGCATGTCAAGTCATGGCATGGCCGATGAAGTCGGCCGAAACAGAGAGCGGCAGCGGCTTAGGTAGGGAAAGGCACACACCGTGTCAGAGGACCAGCACTGCTGTGCCGCTCTGCTTGATGGTGTTTGCTTCATGCGACTTTGTGTGCGCTTATGGATGAGCTTTGTTTCGAGGCCGATCTGCACTGTTTCACCGGCTCACTTTATCACTTTTGTGGCGCGTATGAGCTTAGACGACGAAAGATGAGCGATTTAAAGCAACTACTATGGTCAACGTCGAGGTACGGATTGAAGGAATGCGGATAGCACGGCCGCTTTGTTAGCGGTGGGTCGGTAGCTCACTTCTATGCAAGCTTGTTTGCCGAAACACCGGGTACCCGGTCTTTAGGAAACACCGTCGACTCAGGTGACGGCTGTATCTTTCATACATGTTTTAGTTGTGTACAGAAGTCCGTCTACGCGCCGCGCCGGCAACAATTCATAAACGCTTTTGCAGTGCACGTGCCATGCCAGACCTTGTATGTGTCTGGTGGATGACGAACGAATGTGTGGGCGGCGAGGTTCACATGCATGCAGGGACAGTAATGTTGGGTATAACATGGCGCCGCTGTGGGTGGCCCCGTGTGCTCTTGATTGGAGGGACCTCTGTCGCGTCGCCATGCTCAATAAGGCCCTATAGGTAAGTGCCCTCGTGCAGGTGTCTCTTGGGACTTGAGAAACAAGAAGTAGTTGTGGTCGCCGCCCCGCTTGCCCCTCCTCCTCCTCCAGAGAGGAATGCAAGGAAACTAAAAGTGCGAAGGCAAATTCGGCTTTTTGCCTTTGCGGAGACGAAGCTTGGGGTGCGGTAGGGGCATCTGCTTTTGGTGAAGCCTAACGAGGGGGAGTGCTTCCTTCCCCATCCACTGTTGTGGATTGCTCTGTGGGCTCACTGAACGACGTTCGCTGTGCATTGATGTACATTGGTGTTTGCGGCGCGTGATGCGGTTGCCCCACTGTGCGCTGGGCCGCTTCTCAGGAGGCCCGCCGGCCCCTTGCTCGGTGTTTGGCGCGTTGTTGGTGTTCCTGTCCTGCCGTAGGGCACTTCAAGGCGCCGTCCGATGTTGTGTGTCTTAACTGCCTTAAAGCAATAAGAATTCGTTTGTTTTTTCCTCTGGCCAAGACAAGAAGGGGCCCAAGAGGCTGCGGCGACCTATACTGGTTACCTGCATAATTTATGTGGTGGAGCTCGCTATGATGGCCGTCCCCTCGTCCCCCTTAGGTTCGCTTGCGGCGTTGCATCCCAGGGGGTTTTATAGGCCCCTAACGAATGTGGGATGATGATGTGGCGTACCATTCCAAATGGTGGGCGGTGTATTCAGAAAGAGGAGGTTCTACCGAGGCATTTCCCCTTTCTGTGCATTGCACCCTAACGAAATGCTGAGACGAGACGAATGTTGAAATGATGGTTGTGGCAGGACGAGAAATGTGTGCGCTGCTCCGCCCTAGGAACCCATATAAGCGGGGGAATGGCATAATGTGCGGGTGCGTTTTTGTTTCATTATGCGCCTGTGTATGGTATGTATGGTATGGTACGAGAGCAAGAAGGTGAGCAGAAGGCCGTTCATTGGCTGCCGGGGTTCGTATGTGTGTGAATGTGTGTCTCTGTTTACGGCATGTCGTAACCCGGCGTGGCCTCCTGTGTGCGTGTCGGTCCTTCGTTTGGGCCCAGGACGCTGTTTGTGCGGGGTTTTCATTTTGCCGCTTGTCGTATGGTGGTTGCAGCGGGAGGTGTGGCGCGTGGCGCGCTGTGATGCTTGCCGCCGGAGCCAAAGCTCAACCCAGTTCGACCCGGTTCTGCTGAAGAATGTGGCCATGGGAAGGAATGAGTGATTATCGTACGTGTCTTCCAGGGGAGGATGTTTATTATTACTGCTGAATGGTCTTTGACTTGGGGGCGTGATGAGGCATTTTGGTAAGGTGTGCGGACGCGGTTCCCGAGGTTTTGAGCCATAGTATGGCTCCTTACGGTGGGCCGGCCGTGGGATAATTGAGAGGGCGTTTCAAAAGCTTATTCAATGACTGGGACGGGACAGGTGGCAAAATGGGATGCGGCGCGGGAGTTTCCCTCTGCATGGCCGGAGAATTGGACATAGTTGACTTCATAGGCTAAGAGGTCGGGGCAGTGAGGCGCTTAGACTGTTAAGTGCACTCCGGAGGTGGCTGCTGGAGGGGGCAGTTACCAGTCCCGTTGTGGCTTCGAGGAAGTTGAGGAAAGCACAGCAGCAAACCCGGTCGCGATGATTGACAGGCAGGTGCAAGGACTGCAGGGCCCTGCGATCCTTTCCCCGGCTTGCACTCCACTTCTTTCCGCCGCCCTCTTAGCGCTTCCAACCACAAAACAATCGCGTACATGACTACATGGCTTATAAACCTAGGACCACCTAATTGCAGAGAATCATGCGAAGACCGTGAAATGACGAAAACGTGCCAACGTACGTGCAGTCCGTCGTCGCCGAAGCTGTCTTGCCCAACACGCATATTTAGCAGACTCGGTGCAGTCTTCCGGACGACGGGGCGAGGGGCGATGCGCTCTCCTTGCTGCATCGGTCATTGCTCCATGTCCACGAGACCCGTTCGCCATGCCTCCTTAAACTAAACTTCTCAACTAGCGACTATGAAACGCCCCGGGACGCCTTACGAGGAAACCGTGCCCCCCGACGCCTTGGCCCTCCTCTCCCCGCACAACAAACGGGGTTCATATGACCATTGGGGGGCCCCACTCCCTGTCTACCCCCTGCGCTGTCCCAAGCTGATTAACCCGCACCCAATCCGTGGGCTAGTTAACATACAAGGACAAACACCAGAAGCAAAACATGCGGGTCGTTTTCCACACTGGAAGTCCGTCCTCGCGCACCTACTTTCCCTGCTTCATCACCTTACCCTCCAGAGCTACTTAAACCCCCATTCAAGAATACATTACGACTATCAGGAACCGCCCAAGCACTCCACCGCACCCAACCACGAGAGCGCCAATCATGCCCTCCTCCGGGGGTGTTACGGATAACGCCCCATGTTCATTGTCACAGACAGCATCAGTACCCGCCAACGCGAACCAAGCCGCCCTTCTTGCCATGCACCATGCCCGCCCCATCGTACCCCCCTTCCGCCCGCAGCTGGCCACGATCCCCCTTCGTCCGAGGGGCCTTCTTGTTAAATTTGTACTCAGGCCTCTTTTGCTTGGGCTGTTTGGGTCCCAGCCCCAAGCCTTGAAGCAGGTCCAGATCCGCCGCATCCAGGTCATCAGGAGGCGCCGTAGCCGACCCCGCAGCAGCTACCGCAGCTCCAGACCTTGACGCCTCCAGCATTGGGCTCCCGCCGTCCTCATCACCATCATCATCATCATCATCGTCGTCGCCGCCGTCTGATGAGACCACGTCCGTGGCCGTGGCCGCCGCCGGGGATGGTCGGAGGGCCCCTGCCGCCGGTGCTCCCGGCACCCACCCCGGTGGCTCGCTGCCCGGCGGCATCAGGCAATAGACGAGCTTGCCGTTGGTATAGTCACGGAGGATCTGGCGGCCCGCCCGGGTTTCATCCGGCAGACCAGACCCCGCAGTCCACCCGCGTAGAACAGCATACGCCCTGTGCGTGCATGTGTGCGCCATCGCGCGCGTTAGGAATGGGGACATGTGATACTTCCGTCTTGCCTTGAATGATATCAGGAATGTGTAAATGTGAGGACGCGGGGATGTTTGGATGTGCGTGTGAGGTGTCCATCCTCTGGGAAGTACAAGTGCCCGGTAGCATCATCCCGGGGAATGTGGTGTTCGCATCCGTCCGTCCGTCCGTCATTCCAGCTGATAGTTCTCATCGCTCAACCTACTTTGCAGTGGGATTGTATGTGTACTCCAGACGCGCTGCATACCCCACTCGCCCCGTGCAGCCCACAAACGAAAGCTCCTTCCCCTTCCAGGCAGCCCGCCGCACCTCGGCCCGCACTACCCAAAGTCCCCAAAACCCAAGCGAACCCAGCGTATCAACCCCCACAAAGCACGTGCACACTTACTTACCTCAGCACTTGCTCCGCCGTCGGCGGGTCATCCGGGCTCATGTGTCGTGGCGGCGGCGGTAGCTTGATGCCGTACACCGCGGTCAGCTGTGCGCGCCCCACGCGGCCCGCCACCACCTCTACCGGCTGCCGAATATCTGTCAGCCGGTCAATAGGCACCACGCCTGCCGCCACCATCTCCGCGCGGCTGCGGGCAAACTTGGGCATCACTAGACCCGGGCAGTCGCACAGCACCACCCCGGGCGATACGTGCAGCGTCTGAAAGTGCTTCGTCTTGCCGGGCGTGGGCGCCACCGCGGTCTTTTTGGCGCCAAAGAGCGCATTGATGGTGGAGGACTTGCCCACGTTGGGGTAGCCCACCAGGCCCACCATGTGGCGGCGCTCAGGGCCCTCATCGACCCGTGGGTCATCTGGACCCGCCACTGCCACTGCCGCCGCGCATTTGCGCTCGAACAAGTCCAATAGCTCGTCCACATCCAAGATGCGGATACGCGGGTCGGCCGCCGCTTGTGCTGCTACTGCCGCTGCCCCACCCGCAGCAGCAGCCTCCTGTTGTTGCTGTTGTAGTACTTTGCGTAGGGCTGTGGGGTCTACTCCAAGTGCCGCGGCTTCGGAGCGCAGCCGCTGCTGCTCCTGAATCACCGCATGGGCAGACCAGAACGCGTACTCCACGCCCGCCTGCGCGGGTGCACCGTCGGGAATCCGGGGGCAGCTACTTGGCGGTGAACAGCCGCATGCAGCGCAGAACACGAATACATGGACCACGAAACGCAACGTTCCACCACCCGACATTCCCCGTGCGCGAGGCGGATTGCAGTACCCGCACCTTGTCAAAGTAGTCCGCCCAGGCCGCCCTCACGTTGGGTGGCAGCAGGTCCGCCTTGTTGAGCAGCAGCAAGGAGCTCTTACTGGAGTGCAGCTCCCGGCTGTACCGCTCCAGGTCCTCACTGCGGTACAGCAGCGGGTCGCGTGCATCCAGCACCTGATGGCGGAGGGGGGAAGGGTCCACGCGGGGCGGCGCGTGAGAGTTGAACTGGGGAGGCACTGGCGGTTGACGAAGTGGCGCACAGCGCGGGGATGGGATACGTGTCATATGACCCTATAGCTGCACGGTACCTACCTGCACATGCTTCCCGTGATCACCTCCTCGCCTGCAAAACGCACGGCGTCTGTCCTCACGGGCTAACCCTCCGCTCAGGCCCCCTCTGCCAGGGAGGAACCCAGGTCCCAACGTAATTCCCCAGGTCCGACCCAATCAGCTCCAAGGCCCTCTCCCCCCTTCGCTCCCACCTGCACCACGATGTCCGACCTCTCCAGCACCCGCCAGAGCTGCCTCCACACCTCCAGGTTCTTCTCAAAGGGAGTCAGCACCAGCCGCTCCTCCTCCTCCAGTTGGGCCAGGTTGCGGCGCCAGGACAGGAAAGCGGTGCGCTCCTGGGAGGAGGGAAGTAGGGAGGGGGAGGACAGGCAAGATTACAAGCAGAACATATGTATAATCTGGTGGAGATGCCCCTCTCCACAGCACCACGTACGACCCCCCCTACTTGATCTCAAACTCCCACACAACTCCCCCACAGCCCTACCCTCCTCACCTCTACATCATAACCACCGTCCCTTAGCTATCCCCAGCTCCCATTGCCTCGAATCACCTGACACACAGGGAGCAGCCAGATCCCGCTAAACCCCCCTGACTACGAAAGGAACGCCTCCCAACACAAATGCGGTGGCCCCAGTCCCCGCCCGCCAAAGCAGCCACCACCGCTCACTTGCACATCCAGCTGCTCGGGTGTCATGTCCGCCGTCCAGGGGGGCCGACGGGGCAGCGCCAGGCGGTGGGCGTTACGCGCCTCCGCCTCCATGCGCTCCTCCTGCCTCCGCGCCTCCGCCAGCGGGTCCACCACACCCATACTCACTACCACCGCGTGACCCCGCTCAGCGGTGAAGTCCCGGTCAGCTAGGTCCGCCTAAGGGCATATGGGTGAGTAGGGTGTGCGGGGACCAGCTTTTGAAACGGGCAATGCGAAGGAAACAGACAAGCTGCCCTATTCGTGCTTAGGTATAGACGCGAGGGGCGTGTGGGGGCATGTGGGCTGCGAGGCACTGTAGGTAAACCGGCCAAACATGTCGCAGGGCACTGCATTTGCACATTGCAAGTGCTACACTGCCGTACCATGGCCATCAGCTCGTCCAGGTCATTGCGGTCCAGCACGCTCTGCATGTTACGGCTCCCTGGAGCCCCTTCAAGAGTGGTGTGTTTGAACTGAGCGCTGATGGCGGCTTGGGTGGTGGGTGCGGTCTGTGAAGGGGGGAGGGAAAGGAGGTGGAATGGTCGCCATGGGGGGGAGGAGAGGGTATGCAAAGGGGTAAGGAGGGGCGTGACATGAAACAGCATACGCATAACACCGGGTAAGAACATTTGACATGGGTTGTGATCAGCGGTTAACTCCCGCCCGCTTAAATGTACGAGCTGCAGTCAACTTGCCCTGGTTTCAGAGCTATGGGGCTAAGGGTGCGCTTTGAGGGGCGACTACCCTTGGAAGCGGATAAGTAAGTGGTGAGAGGTGGCATCAAGGGAATCCACATAAAAGAGCCGTGGGGTCTTTTCATGGCCGCTGAAATGACCCCAGTCAGGCCCCAGTTCTTGCGACGGAGAGCCGCAGATGGAACCCTAGAGTGCAGTGTTGCTTCAGACATTTTACAGCAAGTCGAATATAGGGAGACCAGGCAAGGACGGGCAGCAACGAAGGATAACTGGCGACAGCAGTTTGCAAGGCGCCGGACCCAGGGTCGTTGACAATAGAGATGTTGTCGAAATGACGGTGTGTAGAACGAGAATCAGCAATGACATCGCCGTGCCATTCAAGCTCCAGACGCAAGGAGAATCGTTGGCCATCATCACAACACACCTTCTTATTCTTCGCCGCCAGCATTCCGCCGACGTGCTCGCCAGCCTTTCGGGCCTTGCCATTGTGCCGGCCCATACTTTTTTAATTCCGCTACAGAACGGAAGATTGGTAACGTAGGAAGCTGACTTAATGTGTGTTCTGATTGGACGCGTGAGACACGACAGCCGACACCGTCCCTGATAAGAATGCCGTAAAACGTTCTTCAACACTCGAAAACCGATAGTTACGTGTTGGTTAGTTCATGCAACTGAAGAGCTACCTTTAGTCGGTGTATTACGACTGTCGTACAAGTGCTGTTTTAACTGCCATAAAGACAAACAGAATCTTTTTCGGCTTTGAGTAGAGTAAACGAAAGAAGCAACGTACTTATGTGGGTTCTGAGACAGGCATCAAGTTACAAGGTAGTGCGTTCGATACCCGTGGTTCGTCTTTAATCACTGAAGAGTTCCAGAGGCTTACGCGCATCTAAATTTGTAGACTAGTCTCGAAGGATAAGCTCATAACGGAAAGGGGGAAACGCTAGTGTCCTACCTCGCTTCACATCTAATAGGAGAGCGTCTTGATATGGGCAGGACGCCATATGGCGATGATGATAGACCCGGACCGTCTCCCTACAGCGACAACTACCTCGCAACATTCGCTGCAACAACCATACAACGCTGGTGGCGAGGCTACCGCGTGCGGAGGGAATACCTCGCAAAGGTATTTTCCGAACGTAAACTCGGGTGATCACATCGGTTTTGTATTGGCGCTGGCTGTGGATCATTTGCGGCCTTCTCGCCCGCGGCCTTGCAACCCCAGCCGGACGCGCAGCTGAGAAGCGCCTCACTACAATCCCCACCCTGCACGTCCCCTCACCGCTGGTGTATGCAACACAAAGACCGGGGTGGGGCCATTGTGGGGGTTAACCCTACCGGTACCCATGGCAACGAGGCCACGAGCAGGCACGTGTAGGGGGCATGTTTCATGCCCTGAAGAGCTTTTCATCCACACTCACATGATTTCAACACAAAGTCTCCAAAAATATTCCGGCTGCCTCAGCCATAGAACGTCCAGAAAGCATAGCATAGCGAAAACAACGCAGTGCCACAACGTCAATGTCATTGCCTGCGCCTCTCCAATGCAATTCTTAAGCCAAAGCAGCGGCCCTCCCCTTTCTTAGTATCCGCCCTGCTAGGGCCACAACCCCAACTCCGGATTTGTGGAGACCCGCAGGGCCCCATTGGCACACGCGATTGCAATCCAAAGGTACCTACTTCGATGATAAATACTGCATCGACAGCGGCAAACCCAGCCTTTCACGCTCTTTGCTACCATGCGCTCCTTCACCTACCTACTCACCACACAACAAACTCTGGCCCGCTGCCGTCCCCTTAGCGTGCGCGCATCCGCAAGATAGAGTTGGACTGGGCTACCCACCACGACATCACCTACCGCGCCAACATGGCGGCCAGAATCATTCAGACGGCCTGGCGATCCTACCGCAACCGCCGCATCTTCACCTACTACAGGGACCTCATCCGGTTCAGGTGACCGGGGAGGGCGGGAGGGGGGGCCGTGGAGGGCGCATGGAGGGGGAGTCAGGGGATGTGGCGCGACACCATTGGGGGCTGAAACGCCCCTCGGCGGGAAGGGTATTGGCGCGTGTGTCACCTTGGAGGAGCTCTTTTGGAGCGCGAAGGGGAGAGGCGTCGGCTCCGTGCTACTGCGGCTGCACAGGGATGTTGCGGCCGCGCCTACAGTGGGATGGCTGTGGGTGGCAGGGTTGGCGGGGATGGGCTTTGCCGCAGCTGGGTTCCGGTACGTCACTTGGTGGCGCTCAAGGCTACAGAGCCCACGGGAGCTATTGGTCGCGTTTAAGATTCGGGCTTAAAATATTTGGTACAACTTTTCACAAGCCCGGAACCTTATTATTACCTTTAGAAGGTCGACACCTTCGATCATTCAGCAATCCCACATCGTGGTCGTTGTTATTGACGTTCCTGCTCCAGGGAGCGTGGTGATCCGCGGGAGCTGCTCCGTGTCATCAACCCGCGGGAGGCCCAACTAGTGGATGCGGCGGCTGGCATCCACGTGCGCTTCCGTCTTGGGGGCACCATGTTCCCGCCGCTGGTGTTTTACAAGATCTTCACGCACCGACCCGTGGCCGATATCTGCGCCTTCGGGCCCCGGGACTATGCCAACGAGGTGCGAGTCACGCCGGGAGAGTTGCACAACCACCGCCCAGCTGCTGCTGCTGCAGCGTCCGCAGGCCCGCCGGGGCCGCTGCTGGGGTTGCCGGCGGCGGCGGGCGGCGGCAAGAAGGGCGGCGGAAGTGGCAACAGCGTGGTGGGGGCCGGGAAGCGAGCGAAGAAAAAACACGTGTTTAAAGAGGACGAGTTTGAACTCGATAACTCATACAGGTAGGTGCACGACGGGAGCTTGCGAGAGAGGTCGTACGGGTGAGCAGGTGGGCTGGGGGACGTTGGGGGGCGGGAGGTTGAAGCTGAAAAGGAGGGAAGCGAGCAATGCTCACAGCAGCGTGCGGGTGCCTTGGTTGCCAAGGTTGAGGCTTGGGCCACGTGCAACAATTTGCACAGGTCCCATGCCGTGAAAGCGTCAGGCAATGTGCTGCTTGCTCAGAGGAATGGGCCGTGTTCCTCTCACATTCCTAAGGTCCACGAGTCTTCCTGGTGGGGTTTCTTAACCCCATGGTTGCCCATGTTCAGACCCGGCCGGGGACGTGTCTGTTTGTCGTTAGCTCGCACCTCCGAACCCTGCTGCGCCGCTTCAGAGAGTACATCAAGCCGGACGGGACCATCGGATGGCGCAGCACCACGGGCTGGTACGAGCGGCACGAGAACAACGGCTGGCGGCCGGTTTCGGAGCGGGTTCTGCTGGATGAAGACCCCGTCACTACCATGACACGCCTCAAGCGCCAGCCACTGTTCCACTACAACCCGGCGGTGCGCAGGTACGGAGGAAGGGTTTGTCTTGGGGACCGGGTTGTCACATCTCGTCCTCGGCTGTTACTGTGGTTAGGTGGTGATTTGGTCATTTGGCTGCGAGTTGCGGATTGTGTGTAGTGTTGCTGAGGCACAACGCCTTACCTTGAATTCCGGTCCTTTTCTTAACTCCACGCCCCGATCCCTCAGCCATCTAGTCCTCTGGCCCGAACTCCCTTTCTGGACTGCAGCCTCGCCCATTTTTCCACTGCATGTCGTTATTCCTTGACTGTCTTACCATGTACATATTTCTGTATGTAAGCAGCCATTTGTGTGTGTGTGTGTGTAAGCAGCCGCATCTCGACTCTTGGCAGTTCCACTTTGGAAAAAATACATGTGCACCCTTGTTTTAGAATCCTTGCCTCCCACCTCTTCGTTCCTCCCTCCAGGGAGCAGCGTGCCAAGATGATCAAGCAACGGAGGCGCGAGTGGCTGCGAAAGATGTACGCCGAAGGTGTGGGCGGCCTGCGGCCAGCTGGGACCCGCAACGATGATATCGTGTTAGGGTCCGGGCCGGTACCTGATTTGGACCTCAACCTTGGGGATCTGGAAGAAGGGCAGCTCGACGAAGAAGCGGATGAGCTTCTAGCATGGAGTGAGCACCTGGACTACAGGTCGTACTTTGACGATTGGACGAGCATGGCGTGCACGCTGGCTTCGGAAGCGTTCGTACCGGAGGATGAGGCGCCGTACTTGGAGGAGCTACCGCAGGCGCGCGCTGATGTGCGGCTTGCACTGGAGGCGGCAGGGGTGCCCAATGTGCCGTTCAAGGGTGGGCCTAATGCGGCATGTGGGACCGTCGTCCCGTTGAGCTAGCGAGTTGTATAGCTAATCTGTGAGCTAATAAACTAAAAGCACTGTCGGTGGTAGGGGGAAGGTGTGCGCCAATTTGAGTCGAGGAATTGGCGGTGCAAGCGTGTAATTGTGAGGCACGAGAGCAATTATTTGCAGCTTGAGGACTGAAGCTCACCATCGAACTGCGTAAGAAACGTAAACCTTGCATAGACAGAAAGCCCTCCCGAGTGTAGCAAGGTGTTGCGGCTTATAACTGCACAACAAGCGACGGACGGTTGAAGGGCAGGCGCACAATTGCAGGGTGTTCATGTGAAGAAGGATCAGCAGCATGTTAGGGCATAGCGTAATTGTATCAACTAGCTGGCTTCCAATTGTGGGAATAGCTGCGACCAGGTGGACGGACCCAATGTAGCACGAGGGCAGCCGATGTAGCGGCTGGCTCCATGTACACTCTCCGGGCACGATGGAAGGTATGGTGCATGGCTGTGCGCCAGAGGCTCCATATGCAATGGGAGCGGGAACTTGGAAGTATCAGGTGTGTGCTGATGAAGCACCAATAGTGATAGCTGAAGGAGAGTGTAGGCACGCACGTGTGTGTTATACACCTCGGTTGCGTTACCCAGAGAGGTGTAGCGAATGTGCCCATACGAGCCAGATAGAGGCCCAATAGCCACAAGTTGGATTAGGGACATAGTACAACGCAAAATTTCTAAAACCCAAGCAATATACACAAGAGAAACAAAGACATTAATCAACTACGACGCCTGAATAGAGACGAGCGTGTAAGCCAAATGCTGTGTACCAGATGGGCAAATTTTGTTTGCTCGCTGTCCATCATAATCGTCTGCATATCAGAGTTGTTACGTTCGAGATCTCACGACATGCAGAACAAGCTGGGCATTCTAGAAGAACGTGACGCTCATTTTCCGCCTTGCGCAGCGCGCTAAACTCACAGATCCTCCGCTCATGGGGCTTTCCAGCACATGCACGATTCGCCGCTGGGGTCCAACAGTACGTTCAGAACTTGAACGGTGCATTGCCTGGGATCTAGATATATGCCGCTCTGGGCCGGATCCCACCAAGAGCTTAATGATTAGAAACTATCTCAAACGAAAGGGCATCGGGTTGAAGTTTTCGTCTGGCTGACCGGTAGGCTTCTATGCTGTCGTCCACTCCTATCTGGACTAACGCGATGGGAACCAGGGGCGAAGGGACCATGAAGTTATGTATGCCGTAGCTGCGGCAGGTGTAGGCATTCCTGCTTGCATCCCTTAAAACATATCAGTCGTTCCTTGTTCCACAGAAAGCATGGATGCGGAACGGACTGCGCAATGGAAAACATTGCAGGAACGCTATCAGGTTACGGAGAAACCATGCACGCCAAGTCCCTCAACCTACAAATTCAGTTCCTCTACACAAGCAGGCTCTTTAGCTGCTTCCATTCCCTCGGACTGATTGAATCAACCCATAAGCACATGTAAGAACGTGGAACGGACTGCGTCAAGAACACGCCTCCCAGCTAGCATCAGCATATAAAATAGCCTGACTAGAACCCATGGCAGTCCGTCAGTCAAGTGGGTATTTGTAACCCTCGTGCAAAGCTTGGCTTACTCTACGACCATTATGGCAACATGACGACAGGGCGCCGTCATGCTAACACGACGACAGGCCGCCCGGACAATGAAGTCACTGAGGCAAACAAATGGCGACAGCCTGTTCATTGCACAGACGACTAACCATAGAAGTTACAACACAACTTATGAAAAAACAAATAATCAGCGCACAAGCAAAAATAACATGTAAACACACTCTAGTGACCGGATGAGACAACTGTATGTGGCTAGACCCCACACATAGCGCACGTGTAATGTGTCCAGGGCATATACGGCATACGGCACTGTTCCTATGTAATGCGGCCCCAATGCAGCACTATTCCTGTATAATGCGGCCCCAACCACGTGTACCCGTTTGCACCGCACCACCGCATCGGTCGTTAAAGTAACACAGTCACGATCCCCGCCACAGAGCTTCCCAGAGACTCCCTCCAGTTGTTACCGTCATTCCGCAACGCAGCGGCTGCGCACAAGGCTTAAAACAGCTTCAACGTGCTGTTAGCCGCCTCCGCAGCCTTCTCGTCTATCGACTTCTTTGCCTTAGCCTCGAATGCGGGGTGCTCCATAATTGCTTGAAACAGTTGCGTTCCCCGCAACGCGTTGGTAAGGGGGAGATGCCCACGAGGTGCGTCTAGGCTGTAGTTGAACTCCATTGGCCACTTCCTGTAGTTATTGTTCTCGCCTGTGGTCCAGTCAATCTGCTTGAAGAATTTCGGCCACCGCTTCGAGTTCTGATTCCAAATCTCCTTCTGTACACTGTACCCGAACTTCCCGTTGCTGGCAGCCTTCCATAAGCTGTCCAGAGTTTGGAAATCAGCCACCGAGATGTTCTTCACCTCCGTGAAGTAAACCCAGTTCCTCTTAATTGCACCCTCCCCCGCAAGCTTAATTAGCAATGCACGAGTCTCATCCTCCGCCTTTCTGAAATCCCCGTCGGCGAGGTGATTGCGCAGTGCAGTGTAATCCATACCAACCTGCGACAGAATACGCAGATCACAAGGTGGATGTTTTATCTGAAGAATTATTATTATTGTAAGCTTCTCAAATTAATTAATAACCAAGAACACAACCTTTACCTCGGAAAGCAGCGGAACAGCAAAGACAGCGTCCTTTGGAGACACCTTTTTCTTCTCCACAACGGGCCCGCCTCCTAACAAGCTGCTGGTGCTTTCACCAAAAAGAGAAAGATTATCAAGTTTACCCGCAGCGGTTGCAATATTCAGGCGAGCGTGAGTTGAGGGCGGCGTCTGAGACGGTGTGAAGGATCGTTGCGTTGCATTCCTCGGAAAACTGAACGCCCGTCGTCCTAGCCTCTGGATCCGACTGTGGCACAGCCCATTGCCAGGCGGGGCCCGCATAGGCATTTGCATCCTGCACTTTTGCGTAGAACGCGTGAATTAAAGATAGAATTGCGGAGATGGCGGATCCGAAAATAGAAGTATTGTGGATAGCGCCTCCCAATCTCCAGGCTGTGGATTTTTCTGGCATTAAAAGATGCGGGCAAGGTACGACAATGGTCACAGTTTAGAGAGTCCCTGGCGCACCAAAATTCCTGACCTATTATCAATGCTCGCAGCATGTGGTTCAAGTCCAGATCTTAAAGAAACACTTCCAAAGCGTGAAGTGCTCACAGGGACACTATTGTGCATTTTAGCAAATTACCTACGTAGAGGTGAACCCTATATTTGCAAATCTGTATTAGACAGTTTATCCGTGGCCCCAATATGCATTTTGCTACGAAAATCATGCTGGGCGTGCGGTGCAAGCCGTGAATTGGCACCGTTGTAGATGGCTGCTGCCACAAGTTTAACAAAGCTCATAAGATTGCTTGTTATTCATTATCGGTAGAATACCGGTAGCCATGCACAGAAAATTATTGCCCGGAAACGAGGTCCAGCGTTACAAAGTTCCTTTGTTCTCTTCCAAGCTGTTTATCAGGCTTAAAGTATTCTGGGTGCATACGTAACGAATGCACAAAATTATTCATGTTTGGTATATGCTGTCAGCTATGTGTGCAACTTCCGCCCGATTTGTGAAACTCCGGCCATGGTTCGGGCAAGCCCTTTGGCCAAGGAGTCCATGAGCCTTGACGGCACATCTGCGCTCCGGTGGCGGCTTGTAAGCGCACGGAGCACCGAGCAGCGGAAGCTGCTAAAGCTCGAGCGTGCCTCACATACCGCCACTGTGGTCAATGGCAATATTTACGTGATAGCAGGTCGGAAAGGGTAAGTGGACTTGCCCGCCCCATGATGTACTGCCTACACCGCAAGCTGTGTTAGTGTGACTCTCTGGGATGGGCCGTTCACGTTCGGGTCTTATCCTGGCGCTTGTTGGCTCACCGAGTCCCCGGAAACACCGCTCAACTGTGCCGTCCGCAGAATCACAGCTCAATCTGGTTTCATTTTCCCACCAACCGCTCCCCGAATGGCGTGTAGGAGCACCTTTTATGGGGACCTGCTCCTTTTCGACACTGCCACGCACTCATGGTCAATTCTTACTCCGGCCATTCCTAACGGCTTTCGCCCGCGGGCGAACCACACTGCAACACTCGTGGGCGGCCGGTACATCTGGGTCATTGCGGGGAGCGACAACGAAAAAGTAATGGGCGATGCGCACGTCTTTGATGTCCAGACGCAAACATGGACGAAGCCGCACGTCAGGTACGCGCAGCGTGCGCTTTTCGTGCCCAAGTGGTACATGAGGCGGCGGGGCGGCCTTGCCCTCCCATTCCTGGCTAGGGGCACGCTTGGGCGCGCATCTTGTTAGCTAGGGTCTCCAATTCGTCCCTCCGGCGCCCTTTGTAGCCGGCTCGTTGCTGCAGTGGTGGCTGGCTCTTGGCGCCCTGCCCAGCGGCAGCAGCCTTCCCTGGAGCCCTCCCATCCTAAATAGTACCCCTCAATGTAAGACCGCTGTCCGCATGCTGGCCCCATACCCACCATGTCGTTACTATGTCGTTTCGCTCACCGCTGCCACGGCCAGGGGCGATATTACATTACTCTCTCGCACTGCGCACTCCGCGGAGTTGCACCCCTGCGACCCACGGGCCATCCTCTTGTTCGGCGGTTACGATGGCGCTGTCTTCCACAACGACCTGGTCGTCATCCGCACCGACGCCCTGGCGGTGGAGCGGGTTGAGCTCAGCGTCGGAGGTGTGCCGCCGCCTGTGCCACGAGGTTATCACAGCTGCACGGCCGCGGGTAGCAGGTGCGGTCGGGTGAATGGTGCAGGGTGTATTGGTGTAGCGCCGCCACCAGCAAGACATTGATAGCTGCAACTGCAGCAGGGCTAAAGGGTGACCCACATATCTTGTGGCCAGCCTAGGTCAAACACATGGACCTGGGGAAACCGGAGCTTAGAACGGACGGGTGTAAATGTGTCACCCGCCGTGGACCCTTTTTCCTCGGTGACTGCGGGCCTCCGTTGCCACGCTGATGCACCTATGACGTCTGAAATGCTGGACCAGGTTTTCACATCCTTATACATAAGCAGCCACATCATTTCCTGCATCGTAGGTGCTATGTGTACGGCGGCCGTACGGAAACGGGGGTCGTGGATGCCAGTGGGATGCTGGCGGTATTCGATGCTGCTGGCAACCGGTGGTTGGCGCCCCACGTGGAGGGCAAGTGGCCGCAAGCGCGCTCCAGCCACCGCGCTGTGGCTCTGGGCAGCAGGTGAGGGCGGGCCCGCACTGGCTACCGCTAGGTTATAACCACTGTGTTACAACACACCAAGCAGTCCGTAAGCAGTGTACACAAGCCCACGGGCTTACGTTCTGCCCAGGCCCACTTATCCCCTCCGCCCAGGCTGCTGATCCATGGCGGCGCAGCAGCCGGCGAGCAGACCGACCGGTTGGCTGACGTGCACACACTTTTGATATGCCCTCATACCGGGCGGCTGACATGGTCCAGAATGGATGAGCCGCCTGCCGTTGCGGGAAGCGCCTCGAACGCCAGGCCGCAGGGTAAGGGGATGGCGAGGTGCCAAGGACACCAGGCAGCAGGGTGAGGGGATGGGGTTGGAGGAAGAAGCGGCATACCCAGCGCACGGTAACGCGAGATGGACCGCATTGGATTCCTGTTAAGTACCGGACATGATGGCGACTGGGGTTGATCTTGCCCGTGCCCTCTTCTATGCGTCACTATTTTGCAATGGCTGAACGACGGCCATTGTGCAAATCCGTGGCAAGATTTGTACGATGCACAGGGCCCTGTTTGCAGTCCCACCATGCCGCCCATTTCAGGGCTTGTCCCTGTCAACTGCCCCTGCCTTGACCTTATCGGATTGTCTTGGTACTGCAGGCCGCTCCGCACACACGGTCAGCCTGGTAGGGGTGGAATCTTTATACGTGATGTGTGGATACGTTGGCGCGCATTCCGGACCGCACAGGTGGGGCAGGTGGGCTTGGTCAGGCAAGACTCTGTCCTTCTCCATGGATAAGATGTCACCATGGCTTAACGGACTCAATCCAGTCATGTGGCATACCGGGATTGTACGTATCGCTGCGTGTGTGAGGAAGTGGTAGTATACGCGGTGGTTTGCTGTCAGCCACCTGACAGCGTCCTCTCGGAAAAGGGCTCAGGGCGATCATACCATGTGATTCTCTTCGGGACGGGCGTCTCCCTATAAAGGGTTGGCGGATTGCGGCTTATGTTGTGGCTTTCCAAACAGAGAAAATAGATAACGGGGAAAAGACGCTACAAGAGCATTGTCCTCTCCTTGCTTTGAGCTCTAGTCTCGCACCGCACTGGTTGGGTTTGCTCGGCCGCGCCAAACACGTTTTCGACCCGTCACGCCTATTCACTATGCCCATGGCGCCGGCCATGGGCATGACCGGTCCCAACTTGGCCCTCGTCCTGTACTAGATACTCTGGAGACGTGTTCCAGTTGCTCCTTGGGGTCCCAATCTGTGAGCAACCATCTGCCCCGCAACAACCGCAACCGTCACCGCCGCGGTCACCACCACACCAGCTGCGGTCACAGCTGTCTCCGAAGCACATCCCCAAGCCAACGGACCGCTCCAGTCCACATCACGCGCCGAAGGTGGTGACGCAGGCCAATGGCGGCCCTGCAGCCCCCACCAGTGGGGCCACGAACGGCAACCTAAGCCGCCCTGCCTCACCGTTGCGAGAGGACGCAGCAGCAGCAGCAGCAGCTGGAGGCGCATCACGGGGTGCCAAGCGACGGCTTGTGCCCACAGCCTCGGACAAGGCACCTGCGCAAGCCCAACAGCCTGCAGGCAACCTGGCGATGCCCACTAGAGGCCTACGTGACGGCGGCGGGGCTGCAGAAGCATATGGAGCTGGCGCAGAGGATGATCCCATCGATTTGACAGCTGACCAGCTGCCGGATGGTACGCAGCCGAAGGTAGCGGCTGGGGCGCCTTCTTGGGTACAACATGTACCACGCACCCGCGGAGACGCTGTCGAAGGAGGCGAGCCGGCGTTACGTAGTGATGGCGGCTGGTTGGGTGGCCAACGCCGTGGCCGTGTTTGCAGCTCGATGCAGCAGCAGATGTCCGAGGATGCGGCAGCCGCGGTGAGGTCTTCTGATGCACCTGGGACTACCTTGACTTCCCTCCACGGACATCCTTTGGCGGCAAACGTGCCTGGTGAGTTAACAGACGGTCGAGCAGCTAAGCGACATGCGTCGGACGCCGCCATCGGAAGGAGACGCCTGCCAGTGCAGGCGCCGCTTCCCGCAGGCGCAGAGCAAGCAGGCGTTGGAGGGGCGGTGCCTCTGGACATGGCTACAGCTGAGGTGCCTGCACCGCCAGTGCCAGCGCAGCAGCAACAACACCCGGCTCTAGGGTCAGGACTTGCGCGTGGTCACGGCCCCGCCGCTATGGGCTGGCAGGCGCAGGCGCAGGTTTACGGCCTACCGCCGGGGACCATCGCCGCCGCTGCAACTGCGGCGGCGACTGCTGCCGTGGCTGCGACGACTGCGGCTGGAAGCGGGGCCTATCACCGACCGCCCTCACCCTCTCACGGAGAGCTCGCAACGAACTCACGGGAGGCGTTCTTGGTGAGGGGCGGGGATCAGTGCTTGGCTGGAAAGCAGACTCGGCTTTCAGTGTAAAAAGTGGCCATCTCCGCGTGCACGCGAGTAAAACTTTTCCCAGCCCCTCGTAAGAAAGGTGGGGGCATACACAGCGTATCCCTTCAAGAGAATGAAGAGGAATTTCGTGTACATTGACGACGCGTCGGCATGGGAGAGCTATCCATATTTTTGTATACGCTATGCCGACGACCTGCCTGGTGCCGCCCGCAAGCCCTGAGCCTAATGCTGCCCACCTTCCATGATAAGCCCTGTACCTACGTCTCTTCCAAAAAGAGTATTCACTCCCGCTGGGACTATGCAGCAACTGCTACAAGACAACCAAGGACTCCTGCGGCAGCTACAGGAAGCTAAGGATGCAGAGCGGCAAGCTAACCAAAAGCTAGCGGTGAGTGTAACTGGGGCATCGGAGGGAATGTGCGTATTTGCTGGCGAGTGATTAGCTGAGCCCCCAACTTGTCATCGCGACCCCTCTCCTTAATCCTCGTTAATATCTGGCTTGCTGACCCTGTTATGGCCTCCAAGGCTTAGTCTCTTGCGGTGCTGACGCCTAGAAATTGCCGTCTGCTTTTACCGAATTCCCGTTCGGGTGTTGCAACAGGAGCAGCAGCGGCGGGCGGCGGAAGAGCTGTCGATGCAGCGGCGGAGCTGCGAGATGACGCAGGAAGCGTTGCGGACCGCGAACACGGAGCTTGAGGAGGCGCGAGTAAGGATTTGGGTTAGGGGGTGTCGCAAGCTGGCGTACCTATTATGGTTTTTTTTTGAGTGGGACCCGTCAGTTCGGCCCGTAAGCTTTTTGCCGCAGCTAGTGGACGCGGATTCAGCGAAAACAGCAACTAGCGATGCATGTGGGTGCTTAATGGAGCTGCACAGATTAAATGGCTTGTGGACTCAACACCTGTGAACGTGTTTTCAGCGCGGTACAATTACAGTGACGCCTCTGCCGTCACTGCTACTCAAGTACGCACGTATTACTCCTTTGCCTGCATCCTACTGTCTTGCGACACTGTGTCGGCACTTTTTTTTACCCAATATCCACGTTTGCCTTGGTCTGGTATCTTCACATCCAGTCCCAGCTGGAGCACCTGCAGCAGGACCTCGTGGTGGCACGGCAGCAGGCTGCCGCTCATCAACAACAGCAGGCCGCGGCAGCACGGCAGGCGGCGGATCGGGAGCGGGCGCTGCTGCAGGAGAGGGAGTTAATCATGCAGCAGCTAGTTGAGACGGGATGCAAGTACCAGGAGCAAATAAAGTAAGGCCCTCTTGGATGGGTGCGTGGAGCAGATCACGCGTGGTTGCAGTACACAGTTGCTGCTCCTGGGACTGTGTAATAAGTTGCCCCAACGGGTCTGGGCCTCCAGGGATGTGGATTGGTTGGGACGCTCTAGGATACGCTAGGCTGCCCTTGAGAATTTTTGTTGCCAAGCTTTGCCCCGCCGCACCTACCTGGTGTGCAGCATGGCAGGCCTGCTTTTTTCAAGCACCGCAGTTCGATAGCCAGCGCAACAGCTGTCGTACGGGATGAAACCCCGCTCTGTGAAGCACCGTCGTGTGCATTGGATGTTGTCTTGCGAGGGGTTTGCTAGGCTTTCTTCACGTCAAGTTATCACCGACGCACCTAGGTCGCGCAATCCCTCTGTGTTTGCCGCCTTGCTGTGCTCACCGGCATCCTGAACAAGGTCGCTTGAGGCGTTAAGCGGCCGACACCAGGCCGAGGCGGATAAGTACCGCCGGGACCTGCACGCCGAGGCAGAGCGGCATAGCGAGGCGGCGGCTGCACTGCGCGAGCGACTTGGCAAATGGGAGCAGGACGCGACGGAGCTGACAAACAGGCTGCGGGAGGCAGCGGCTCAGAACCAAAAGTTGGTACACGCATGTGTGCTCTGCGCCTTTGCCATGGTGCCGTACCTTTTTGAATTCATAATTGAGTAGGCTTCGCGCTCAGACCGGTGTTTTGTAGTCTCATCGAATCGCTGTCTTGAGTGGTGCGGAGGATAATGTGTGGTGATGCTGTCCGAAGCTGGGATGGAAAGGGCTCAGATGATTTTGTGGATCAAGCGTGGGCAAGACATCTCTGCCTCCCCCCATAATCGTTTGCCCATTCCATTGCCCAGGCTGCAGCAGGAGTTGGCCCGACTCCAGGACGTGAAGCAGCGCCTCGAGAGGGACACGAGCGAGGCGCGTGAGGCGCAGCAGAGGCTGCAACGGCAGATGGACGAACAGGTCGGCGATTTGGCCCGCCAGCGTGATTCACTGCAAATGCAGGTCACCCACACTACCACCAGGTGCGCATAGCTCAAACCCAGCAAGAACAGAGGAGAGGCGGACGTGGGGACGGGGCCCATGGAAGGAGGACCAAAATTGTGCGTGGATGGTAGCTGTGGGAATCAAGTAATGCTGCCCGCGTTCCCGCTCCTTCAGGATTTCCGCTCTGGAGTCCGAACTCCGGCGGACCAAAGACGACCTGGCCCACCGAGACGTCCAGCATGCAGCGCTGCTGCAGGCTAGTGCCGACAAAGCAGCCGAGCTGGCAGGGGTTCGCGAACTCTTGCGTGCTGCGCAGCAGAAGCAGGAGGTGATGCGCCAGCAGGCCAGCTTGCTTGCGACGCAGATGCAAACTGCCCAGGCAACGGTGCAAGCGATAGCCAACGGTGTGTAGGTGGTTACGCAAATATCTAGGGATCAGCAATTGGATGTGAGGTTTCGTTATAAGCTGATGGTGCTTGGGGCTTCAGGGCTCAAGGCGATTGTATGTGTTTAGAGGTAGCACAGGTGTGCGCAGTCGATGTCCAGTGCAGGCACGTCGAGATTTAGCTATTAGCTAACCTGATGGCGGAGAACCGACAGGTGAATGCAGCTAGGAAAGTGCTGGGATACCTAATCATTACATGAAGAGTTATAAAGTAACGCGTATAAAGTAACGCGTCCGCGCCAGCACACTGGCATGGAACCAACCGTCCCCCTCATGTGCATCACTCCTGCGTCCTCTCTTGAAGCATGCCCTAATGTAAAGCCGCGTCCGAGGCCGTGCCGCTGCAGTTGCACAGAGCGGGTTTATGCGATGACGACCAAAGCCTGCTCACTGCAAGCCCCTATGGCTCCTTGAAGACAGCTTATCGCATGCCCCACGTCTACAACAATAACTACATTTCCTGGCAAACCCACATGCACAGCCCGGGCCTCACCAATCCGCATGTTTGTTCGAACCAAGGAAGGCGGGCTGCATTAAGAACATACAGAGTGTGGGCTGGCCCGCTGCACAATGCCGCTACCAAGTGATCCACCAGGTTCCGCGCCCCAAACCCCAGACACCCGCCCATGCACTCCATAATAGAACGATGGCTTTCGGGTCAGCTGCCTGCCAACATGCGCAACCCATCCTTCTGCCACAAATGTCATTGGCCGTGCAAACTTACGTGTCACGCTGTACCACTTGCCATACAGACGCGTCACCTGTACCGCATTCACGGCCTAAAACACGGCTGCCGCGAACGCTTATCCATTTCCAATCAAACCCCCCAGCTGCCTGTTCCCTCACAGGCCTGCCTTCTGCATGCTCTCCATGAGAAACAGCTTTTGGATGGCCTCACTGGCAGCAATATTGATCTGATCACAGTAGGTCGCGATCTGGTTGGTGACCAGGTAGTTGTCCAGCATGGAAGGTTCCGGAATCGGCTTGAAGAGCGTCGGGTCCTCCTCCGGCAGTGCTTCCAGATTGTCCTGCAGCCGCTGCGTGTTCTCTTGCCGGCGTTTCACCAGCCATGCTGAATAAAGCTGCTGCTGCCGCGCCACAGTCTTGTGGTACATAGTTACCTTTTGCTGTTCCTGCACAATGTCGTCAACGCACTCTACAAGGCTCTGGATATTGCGCTCAAGGAAGGGGGCCACCGACAAGTTGAGCTTGTCGACGTCAGCCTGGGTGGCCGTGGGCGCTGGAATCAAGTCTGCCACGAGCGCCTGCACAAGATTCGAGTTGCGGACCTTGATGGGGAGCTCCACAAAAATATCCCGCCACGACAGGCCGGCCTCCCGGAAGCCCTTCAGTGTCAGCTTCTGCTCCTTGGACAACTCAATGAACGACTCCTTCAGCCGGACAGCTTTGAGTGCCAGGTTTCCGCGCGAAGAGCGCTGTGGATCATAAATAATACACACGCACTTCTTTATATTTTCATGGTAGTTGATGAAAGTCTCTATCAGCTCCAGAGTTTGGAATGTGCCCATGTTGGCGGACTGGTACCTGAAGTTCCGCAAACGAGAGGTTTAGTTGCAAAGTTTAGTTTAGCCCAAAGCCTGTGCATGATCCACGATTTTGTCGCTGACGTCTCCACACCAGCAGACATGGCACCGCCTTCACAAGAGGACAAAAGCGCAAGGAACCTGTGCAGCCCATCCAACCCCAGCAAGACTTGTCCAGGCCCGCGGCAACATGCAATTTTGTGCCACAAGCCTAGACGAACAACAGTGGGCGTAGTAAACACGTGCAAGTTCTTTCGAGCTCCGAGGGTAATACAGCGCTAACTAAAGGTGACACAAGCGCAGCACTTCTTACCAAAGAGTACTGAGAGCTTGCCAGCATGCAAAGCGACCCCGGATATAAGGCACATACCCCTTGCCACTTCAAGACCAGACGGGAAACCCTAAAGATGATCATCAGGCCCCAGTGGCAGCAACGCCGCATCCCACGCCGTGACACTACCATTCACTGCTTCGCTTGCCCCTCCTGAGCCGTGCAGACTGCAGCCAGCTTCACCCCTTCCCTGACCAGAGCACTATGACTGCTTATGCTCACCATCCAACTGTGTTGTTGTCCACATTAACCTCACGCAAGCAGCGCATCATTTCCAGCTGATAGTTGGCGCCAGCGGACTCCGCCTCGGCGTCATCGTCAGCAACAGCTGCCTGACTCGCATAAAACAATGAAATCATAGCCTCGTGAAATGCATCATTAACTTTAAGCCGCCTTGCCTATCCGTCCCCATAGCCAAGAGGTCTTAACTTACTTCAAGGCCTACAGTCTCACCGGGAAAGCAAAACAATCCGTCACCTCCAACTGCTGGCCAACATCCAGCCCGAGCAGCTGACCCGTTACAAGTTGAGGAAGCGCCTCGCTGCAGTGCTGGATAATCTTAAGCAAAACCTGGCCTTCCAGCTGCACGGTTTTAACAAGCTCCTTGTGCTGCCTGGGCGCACTGCCCTCGAAAGCTGTGGCCATGTCCTAGCAAGCGGCGGCGGGAACAGGTTCCCCTAGGCTGATAAAGCCCGATCACAAGCAATGTCTGGCTACAACTTTCTCGAGAAATTAATGTAATGTAGATTCCTAAGTAAAGGACCAGTTTCGCTCTCGTAGAGGCATTGGGGTTGAAGGACGTTGCCGTGCAAGTCGGAAGGTGCTCACCGCAGGCCCTAGTCATGCTGTGATAATTTCAGAATTTGTGATCTAGCCCTTTGTATTTCGCATAACACTTGAGACCTATGGATAGTTAAGCCGCGGTTGGATTGATTGAACTTGTTAACTGTTGCAAGGCACGGCTCTCTGGGGCCGCTTAGACGGCATCAGCCACTTAGAAGGATCTTCCGAGGCAGTATGACACGGCGACTAGGACTGTTGCTGCTCGTTCTGGCGCTTGGAGCTGCTGCAGGCGCAGCTGCAGAGCATGCGAGGGCGCTACTCGGCACGGGGGACCACAAGTATAAGCAGGGCGATCAAATCATGCTCTACGCCAACAAAGTCGGGCCGTTTCAGAACCCAACGTATGTAGGGACACGCTGTGGCGTTGCTGCTCCGCTAGCGTCAACTGTTTCGTTTTCTATTGACAGGGAGACATACCAGTACTATAATCTTCCCTTCTGTCAACCCAAGGATGGAAAGGAGTATAAGACGGAGTTTTTGGGCGAAGTGTTGGAGGGCGATCGGCTGGTGACGACGCCCTACAAGTTACAGTTTCGAATTGACGTGGAGAATGCTGCTCTTTGCAAAAAGTCGCTGAAGGCGGACGACTTGAAGAAGTTCCGCGATGCAGTCAAGCAAGACTTCTATTTTCAGGTACAATAGACGTGCTGCGGACGTCTGTCGTTTCCGTTATGAAGTGGCTGAACCCACTTTTGTGCATTCGCAGATGTTTTATGACGACCTGCCAGTATGGGGCTTTATTGGCAAGGTTGAAAAGATAGTGCAGACTGGGACCCATAAGTACTTCCTCTTCACACACTTCCACTTCGACTTATCTTACAACGAGGACCGCGTCATTGAAATTAACGTGTCCAGCGATCCCATGCGTACTGTCGACATCACTACAGCAAATGAACTGGACATCCAGTTTTCGTACTCCGTCAAGTGGAAGCAATCATCCGTCACTTTCGACCACCGCATGGATCGCTACGCACGCTACTCCTTCTTGCCGCAGCATCTCGAGGTTGGCAAAGGGGCCCACTGGGGAAGGGACGGCTTCACGGTGTGCGGTCGTGAAAGGGCCCAGCATCCCATGGGGCTCCTTGCAAGGATTTACACCTGACGTCTGCTTGTAGTGGTGCAGCAACACCTGGATAATCGCGCACTGTCCTTGTATATTTTGTCACATATAGTGCTATGCATGCCCTCCTGAAGTATATGCGGTTTCTTGCTCCTATGCAGATTCACTGGTTTTCAATCATAAACTCCTGCGTGACGGTGCTGCTGCTCACTGGTTTCCTGGCAACAATTTTGTTGCGCGTCCTAAAGAATGATTTCATGAAGTACACGCGAGATGACGAAATGGGGGAGGAACAGGAGGAGACTGGCTGGAAGTACTTGCATGGGGACGTCTTCCGATTCCCGCCGCAGTCCAACATTTTTTCCGCTATGATGGGTGTGGGTGCACAGATCCTCGCCATGGCTATGTGCATCTTCGCATTGGCCTTGGTGGGTGTTTTCTACCCCTACAACCGCGGAGGTTTGCTGTCTGCATGTGTGGTGCTGTACGCCCTCACCGCCGGTATCTCAGGTATGTAATATGAAAGCCGTATGCTGTGGGGCTAGGGAGGGCAGGAAAAAGGGTTCCGGGTTTGAGTGGGTAAGGTCGCTAGTAAAGCTTCTAGCAGAACTTGTTCATCTCGCACATGTCCTCCGAATTAATCCTTGCAGGTAAACAGAACATCCGGGTGGGACACAATGGGGTGTATCTTGGCCGGCCATTTCCCTGCATGGAAGAAGTCCCTTAGCAGATTGGGTAACTTGTGAAGCTTGTTCGCAAAACTAACTCGTTGTACGGCATTTCTTTTCACCTTGAATCAGCGAGCTCAACTTCGTCTGTCCGGGCCATGCGTGTACAACTGCAAGGGTATCGTGATTAAGTTGCTCAAGCAGAGGCTTCGTTTAGTTGTTGGCACGGTTGCGTGGGCGCCCTCGGCATCTCAAAGCTTTTCGGTATAGCAACTCTTAATGTGACATCCGTGCATACGATGTTTGGGGTTAGTACCAAATATTGATGCTGTTGCGTAATTTTTTTTGTTTTGGTTGATACACTGAGCTTACCTGTGTCTCGTTAAAGCAGCGAAAGCGATTGGTGCCAACCCCGCTGGGTTCATTTCGCAGGCTACGTGAGCGGCCTGCATTACAAGATGTTTGGCGGCACTAACTGGGTTTCTAACGTACTACTGTGCACGGTGCTCTTCTGCGGACCGGTCCTGGTCGTCTTCTCTTTCCTCAACACGGTCGCCATTTTCTATCGGTCCACCGCTGCGCTTCCGTTTGGCACAATTGTCATCATCATTCTGATTTGGGCGCTTATCACCTTCCCGCTTACTGTACTGGGTGGTATTGCAGCGAAGAACTCAAAAGTTGAGTTCAACGCACCGTGCAGGTGAGGGTCAAGGATGCACTTAGTGCGGTACCCTGCCCTGTTGTCATGGGGCACCGTGTCACAGCTTTATCGATTTCGTTTTAGTTGCATACCGTGCTGCCGCTCTTGTACAAAACAATAAGCTTGTCATGCAAAGTTGTATTCTTGACGTCTTTATAACGATGTGATTGGGCCCTTTGTGTCGATTCGCCGTTCAGGACCACCAAGTTCCCACGCGACATTCCCCCACTGCCGTGGTACCGGACTACCATGCCGCAAATGCTAATGGCGGGCTTCCTGCCTTTCTCTGCCATTTACATTGAGCTTTACTACATCTTCGCGAGCATCTGGGGACACAAAGTGTATACCATTTACTCGATCCTTTTCATTGTTTTTATCATCCTGATTATTGTGACCGCGTTCATCACAGTGGCGCTCACATACTTCCAGCTGGCGGTTGAGGACCACAGGTGGGGCCCTTGCATCCAGTCTGCCATCCCATTTGTAATCCGTCAAGCAGCTTGCGTGTGATGTTTGACCCAACACTAAGCCTCTAATCCTAATGACCCTGGAATGCTGTATGTCCTTCCTTGCGGCGACCCTGGAATATGATGTACGTCCGCTCTTGTTGTACAGATGGTGGTGGCGTTCTTTCCTGTGCGGAGGCTCGACGGGCATTTTCGTATACGGATACTGCTTCTACTATTACTACGTACGATCGGACATGAGCGGCTTTATGCAGACCTCCTTCTTCTTTGGCTACAATGCTGTGGTATGTTATGCCTTCTTCCTCATGCTCGGCACGGTGGGCTTCCGCGCTTCTTTGCTCTTTGTGCGGCACATCTACAGGTGGGTAAAGGGGTTTGATGACGATGTTTGGCTGACTTTTCTCTTGTGCTACCTTATCTAAGGATTGCCCCTCTTGCCTGTCACAACCATGCCATAACAGGGCCATTAAGTGCGAGTGAGATCAGGCCGTGTTGCTCTGGGATGCCGTTCGCGAATGCTTGACCATGGACCAATTTGAAGGTATAATGCTGGACTATTTCGGAGACTGGATGACTTGTTCTTATGAGAGACAGTAGAGCGTATGCTATGAAAATTGACTTAGGACTGAGTTAACGAGTTTCTTGTGGAAAGGAGAGTCGTGACTTCAAGTGTAGGATTGTTAAGCAGATTTATCAAAGGAGTGGATGTGTACGGATACTGCGAGATGGTAGTGTCAATTGCACGGTATCATTCATACCAGGCTTTTATATAAGTCATGTGCAATATGTGAGACGAGACATTCTGTCAAGACATGTATAAAACAGTCGGTTGCAAATGGGACATGTGTCTGCCGCTTCTATATGCCTCTTCTCTGGGGAGGGTGTAAAAAGCGCTTGAAGCTATTCACGGAGATTTCACAGCATCTTGATCCTTGCCAACCAACATACAATCAACAAATCGGTTTTGTGAGCTATATCGTGTGTCCTTGCCGCAAAAGCCTTACTGTCCATACAACCTCTGTAGGCGTCGAGTGTGAATATTGCGACGGTTGGACTGCCTTTCGCAGCCTAGGCCAGCATCACAAACTGCGGATTTCGCAGCATTAAATGCTTGTAGTTGAGACACGTAGCATGTAACACCAAATCCCTGTAGCTAGACATGTAGCACGTGCTGATAACCCGTCTTCATCGTCCACAGCATGAACGTTTGGTAGATTGAGCCTGCAGCCAAGACAGCTCCTGTTACGCTGAGCACGTCCCGTAACCAGCGGTTGGAGATGCGTGGCGCGAGGAAGGCGACGAAAGCAAGACTACCCGAGACCACCAAGTACAACGAGCCCAGCGTGAAGCCCTCTGCGCCCAGCTGGCCCTGGCGGCCGGTCAAGAAAAACTGTTTAGGGATGAAGAATGGGCACGGAATTGTAAGTACAGTAACACCGCACGGAAGGCTACATGGGAGGATACACACATCTGTCATGGTTGGCAGGTCAACAGATTCAATGCGCGATAATTAATTCTGGATGCAGCCGACACCAGATGGAATATCGCCGGAAAAAACATTCCTCAAGAGGATTTCTAATCGCAAGTCTGCAGGGATGTACCTTGGATAGCCCAGTGGACTTTCAGTGGGGTCCGAGTCTGCACCCGGTTGGTTAGTGGCTACGCGCCGGGGTTAAATGTGCAGCCCGAGATGTGCCACCTAAGGATACCCGGCAGGGTGTCAGAGGGTGGGTTGGGCTGACCTCGAACCACACGCTAGTGGACGGTTTCGGGAGGCTTGTAACACGGATAAGGGCCGCACTGTGAGAACAAAATACTCCTCGCGAATGCCGCCTTTCATCCTCAGCCCCATTCACGCACGCTTGGGTTCCTGGCCCGGAGCGAACTTTATCTTACCCAGGTGCGATATCGCCTCTGCAAAAACGAAACCGACTGACTGCTAATGAACCAAACTGCTGGAACGAGCTGGTGGAGCGAACTGCTGATGAACAAGCTCTCTACATCACTGGCCAGCTCTTTGTGCACCATAAACCGCAACCGCAAACCCGGTCGCGCGCTAGGGCAATTCAAGTAGCTGTTCCAGGCTCAGCGAAATCGCCAAGGGCAGCCGCAAGTAGGTCCTATGATGCTTGGGTCTTCATTTCGAGTCTTGATATCGATTGATTGTTAACGTGAGTAATGCTGCCGCGGTTGCCGCTGACCCCTTAGGGCCGACCAACACACCTGGAGGTTTCCCTTTCGGTCGCGGATGAAGAACGGCACGCCCCGGATGATGTTGTACATGCCGCCGCTGACAGAGAACCAAAACACGACCAGAGACAGAACAGCCCAAATCGCCGCGTGCTGAAGCAGTGACAACGCATACACCTTGTACATCAGGTATGCCGTCGCCAGCATACTCGCCAGCACTAGCACGGGAAACAGCGGGCTCTTGTAAATGCTGGGCCGGTCAACCTCGGCAGCCTTGAGGCCGTGCCGGATGCCCATAAACTCCACAAACGTTTCCGCAGGCCAGGGGTAGTTGCGCGTTCCCACGGTGTCTGGAAGCATCTTATCACCCTTGCCCAGCTCAACCGTCGATGCACCCACAGACAGGCCAGGCGGGATGCGGACGACGCACGGCAGCGAGTTGACCTTACGGGCACAGGAGCACAAGCAAATTGTAGAGGATAAAGGGAATTTACGAGTCACCAGAACAAGGTCAACAGCAAATTGCACATCAACCCAGGACCAGATGGCATGCCAAATGCATAAGATTTAGTTCTCTGATCTGCATTTGTGCCTTGGAAGAGCCAGAAATCAAGACGAAATCATGACGCGAGCTGGAAACAGACCCGAAGGCCCAGGAGGGGGACTTCAACGGCATCGGATGGAGCCAGGGAAGGAACAGTGGCCCATGGGTTTTAAAGGAAAAGGGAACGACAGTTCAGATCGTGGCCTGGGCCTATTGACGGCCTAGGCCCCTTGGAAACCACGCCCAGCTCATCTCTGCCCGGCCTTGACATCTGACGTAAGCTCCGAATCATGATTCTCGCTGTGTATAATTCCATTTACGTGCACAACAAGAACACTGTTGGCCAAGGCCGTGTCGCTGTATATAGGATCTCATTTCCTCTACTGTAGTCCTTTGCCCCTGTATGCCCTAGCCACCAGTCATCTCGTCGCTGGCATAAAACAAATGGAGTTTCCTACCTAATCGCAGTTTTAAGCTTCCTCAGCACAATTGCCGTCCGGCCACCCTACCTGCCACCCGCTAGAAGTCTTAACACTTTCGCAACCGCTCCAAGAGGATGGGTGAAAAGCGGGCATGCACACAAGCTACCAGATGGATGCTAGCGGTCTGCTCAATGTGCACGTCGGCAGTTGTAGCAAGAAGCACAAACAGTAAGCTTTCTGAGTCGCTTCACCTGTTTGGAATGAAGCACCTGCATTCTAATCAAACTGCACGACAAATATGCAAGCACTAGCACCCCGGTCACCCACTTGTAGCATGGCGAAAGGTGTCTGCGACTTTTCCAGGGCCGCCTCAAAAAAGAAAATCTTGTCTGCATCGGGTCCCGTTGCAAAGGCTTTGGCTGCGAGGCCGTACTCCTTGCGCAGGTCATCCAACCGCAGGTTTGGGTTGCTCTCCGAAACCTGCAAGGTCACGTAGCAGGCGGACGTTTCATGGACGGTCACATCAGCTTTACAAGCACACCGTACACTGACGAAAATAAATGCAGGCTGCCGAGGACCTGCATAAGTACCATTTTACGCCATAATATGACAACTACGGGCACATACCTGCTCAGCAGAAAAAAAAATAACCACGGTGTATGGCCGGCTGCGCCCCACGACATATTGTTTAAGCACGTCGTCTGTCAACAGGATGACAGCATCCCGGGCCTCGTCTCGTACAGATGTAAGCTCTAAAACGTCCTGAGGCACAGGAACGCATTCCGCAAAATGCTACGTGTGCAGTACCAAGCGGTTCATCACGCATATAACATGGCGGGTAAAGCTGGTACGATGTGTAAAAATAGATGCGAAGGGCATGCAACGAAGAGATACGCAATCACAAACCCGACCCGGGCATACACGCTAACAGGACGACGCGAACCTCCAGCAGCTAGCGGTACCCCTATTTGAAGCGGGTTGGGCATGAATTGAAATGAGCCGCAGCGAGAAACCCTGACAGCTCTTAAGCCGTGAAAGAAGCTCCATTTCCCGCAATGACCCGCCTGCAGCACCGGTCCAACGAGGTTCTCCCTTAGGGTACCCAAGTTGGTACCTCCAAGCTAGCTCACCGGCGCTGCTAATAGTTGCTTGGAGACCACCATCAACCCTAAGAGAACAACCGTTGCAAACCTCATCATTCTTGTCGGAGACGCAAAATGTTGACGATCACTTTATACACAACGAGAGGTGCGTAGATGAGCTGCCAGATTTACGTCCCATGACTAGTTCATCTTAAAAGTATTTCCTAAAGATGTACAGGGTTCGGCTTTCCGTCTGGAAAGGAGCTTAGGAAACGGATGCCGTACATGTCGTGGTCCTTTCCGTTTCTGCCATTCACGTCAACGCTTCAAAACATGCCATTCTTATGATATGTCTTTCAGCTGCGACCCTTTAGCTTTTCCAGCTGAGAGCCCACTGCGTACGAAACCTGTCACCGTTCTTGCCTTTAGGTTGAGCCATAGAATCACTATAATCATTATACTAGGCATCTGCTCATTTGCTTCGAACTTTTGAATTTATCAACCATCGAATGATTACTTGGAAGCAGGGTTATGAAAGGCAAACGGAAGGACCGCAGGAAGGAGCTAGACTCTGCAGTCTATAACGGACAGGAGTATCGTCCCGGGGATTGTGTTCTTATAAACCCTCATGACGACGCTCCGGCATACGTGAGTGCTGCATGGCAGCTTTTTTGGCGGTAAAGTTAGTGCGTAGGTCTGAGTGTACAAGGCAGGCTGAGCTGCACATCCGTGGCGCAGATTGGGCGCATTAGGAAGATCTCCCAGGCGCTCAGCGACCCAGCTGACGTGGAGCTGGAGGTGGCCTGGTTTTATCGCCCGGAGGAGGCTGTAGGTGGACGAAAGGTGCGGAGCTTACGAAATTGCTTCCATGGATATATGGCCCAGCTATGGGGCTCCGCCTTTCCTCTTAACTTCAACTTCAAGACGGGTTGCTAGCCGAACAGACTTATGGTCAGGGTTTAAGGTTTTAAGGGCGTGGTCAGGGTTTAAGGGCGGGTAATTGACCGCGAACAAACACTAGTGGATGCTGCTGTTGCTGCGGAAGCGTAGGCAGATTATCTCAGATAGGTGGCACGACGGGAAGACGCGAGGTTAACGGGGAGATTGTTTCAAAAGTGAAAACTGCTCGGAGCTGAGATGTCTGACCTGGCCGCGCCACAAACCCGTTGACAGATTTTCCATGGGGAGTCGGAAGTTTTCGAGTCCTCGCATCAGGACAAGGCGCCACTGGCGGCCATCTTGGATCGCTGCTTCGTGCACAGCATGGAAACCTATGAGGTGCAGGGAATCCTTCAATCCGCTTCGGGGGGCCCCCTACATTCTGCCTTATCTGCATGCTTGAGGTAGCTTGCCAGCTGCTGGGAAAAGAAATCACTTTCTGCCTTACCTACTTGCTGGGTTATCCCAACAAGACATAGAGCTCGTTTGATGCGTGGCGCGGAGTTTCCTCTTTCCTACCTGCAAATACCGAAGGCGGTTTCTGCGATGATAGCATTCTGTCTACCTCCCGGTGAACAGCACGTGAGTGCAGGTACTTCACATGCAGGCGTCAGGTTATGATTACTCGCTTACCCCCGCGGGCAACCCCCTTGATGATTGCGCGCGACCATCGGATTGGATTGGCGACATCTCTTCTATTGAATGTTTTTTCCCTGCTGCCTTTGCTTGTGCGCCCCGGCAGTCTTTGAAGGACCGCAAGGAAACTGACTTTTTCTGCCGACTCGTGTATAAGGTACGGCAGCATTTATGATTTTTCGATTAGTGCTCACGATGGTGTGGCATCAAGCATGTTTGCATTTCACCAAGCATTGCCACAGGTGCTTGCCGCAATGATGACATGTAATGCATCGGCACATACATTGTATTATATCAGTTCAGGCACTAGTGGTAACGCACACACCGATGCCCCCGGAGGTTCCGGGATCGAGACTTGTCAGGGTCGAAAATCCTTCCGATGGTGGAAGGTAAGAGTGGCCTTACACGATGGACGGTGGTGACTTGGGATAGAGTAGACCTGCGTGCTGACCAGGAATGGAGTTGAGCCACCGTTGACGGCATATTGCGTTGGATGCCGGTGGTGGGTGCTGAACCTGAGCGATCCACTGAGAAGTTGGCTAGGGTGACTGGATGAGGGTGCCCCGAAATACCGGGGTAGGCAGGGTTTCGCCAGGTAGCGGCCACGGGTGAAGATACAACCCCCCCATGTCCCACTCATCATACATTGTAATTGTCGTCGAGCTGCATTACGTCCACGCATCTGCTGTCATTCGCAGCACCGCTGTCAATGATTCTTTATACCTTCGCTTGTGACCACTGCAGCCCCAGACCAAGCAGTTCGAGCCCGACGAAGTACCTGTGTGAGTACCATGGAAGGCGCTCACGATTGTGCGTTCTCGTTTACATGGCATATTTTGTGACAGGATGGGTGATAATGGACGCAGGTACTGTGAATGCGAGCTGCCGTATAACCCCGACCGACCTATGGTCATGTGTGGAACTTGCGAAGAATGGTACGCGATACACCACGTATATATCTGTGCAGTGTCCCCAGCATTAAAACGACGAAGGTGTCATGTAGATTACGGTCAGCTCCATCGAGACTGCTCTTTCAAATATAATGTAGCTTGGATGCGAGGGTAGCTTGCAGATCTGGGGCCACAGGCGCCATGTGATGTGCGAAACAGGGGGGTATATCTTCACCCGTGGCAGCTATCCTGCGAAACCCTGCCTTCCCCGGTATTTCGGGGCACCCTCATCCAGTCACCCTATTCAACTTCTCAGTGGATCGCTCAGGTCTCGCGCCCACCACCGGCATCCAACGAGAAACTGCCGGATCGACGGCGGCCCAACTCCATTCCTGGTTGGCTCGCAGGTTAACTTTATCCCAGGTCACCACCGTCCATTAACTAGGGGCACTTTTCCTTCCACCATTGGAACGATTTTCGACCCTGACAGGTCTCGACCCGGGATCTCCCGGGGGCAATGGTCGTGCCTTAGCAGTAGTGCCTAACCTAGTAGTGCCATATATATTGTCTCAAACTTAGGTCGGCTGCTTTCCCTTCTGTCTGCTGCACGGAGATTCCGAAGGTTAATAGAAAGTCACCTGTGAACCTTCTGGACCCTGCCCGCCGCCAGGTACCACCCTCAATGCCTTGGCTTGGGACCCGAAGTCTTCCAGCAGGAGAACTTTGTGTGCCCCAAGTGCAGCGGCTCCGGGGCGCCAGCTAAGAAACAGCGTGCGGTGATGGCAGGAAGTGTTGATGTGGGCGGCGGTCCCGCGTCAACGGCGTAAGGACTGGGCTTAGTAGTCGCGGCACTGGCGGCCCTCCCACGCGGACAACCTGCCCGCGTACACCCCCACGCACCATGGTTCGTCTTAACCTCACACGCACTGATCCCACAGCGCAGGGCCCCAACGTCGCCACCCCGCAAGCATAAAACGCATTGGCGAGCAAGATGCGTATCGCACCTCTAACGGCCGGTTTCGCCGTAATATCATGATAATAAGTGTTGGAAAGGGGGAGATGTGAAGCATTTTCGTTGTTACTAGGAACTTTGAAACGATACAGTGGGACAGCAAATTGTTGAAGTCAGCTTTGAAAGGGCGGCGGTCACTGGCTGGGGACATTTCCTACTTGGCGTCTAAATAGGGGGATGGAAAAGTGAACGACTGCGTCGTGTTAATGTCAGCCGTGTGGTCAGTTTCGGCGGCTTGTCTTTCGAAATGGTTGATCGCCTCCGCGGTTGTCGTCCCGCTTGGGGGCGTTAATGGGATGGCCGCATTGGCTAGGCGCCCGCCCTCCCCGCCTTGCCAGGATTCGTGAATTGAAAGGATAGGGCCTCTGAGCAGGATTCCCGAAGGAGGCTTTCCAGGGCTTCAATTGACAAGGGGCCGTACAGGGATAAGTTGCGTATCATGATGCTCTCCCCGGCCATGAGCCGTGTCGGATGTGGCCTCGCCGTCGCCTTCGCGTTATCCGGCGACTGGGCCACAACTCGTAAATACGTCGCGTAATTTGTTTCGATGTGCCTTACAGTTTCGACGAACTGAAATACACCCTCCATATATTTGCGGAGCCAGGACGCTGTACGGCCTTCGTTGGCAAGTGTTGGCACCGCCCGCCGGCCAGACGCCGCGTCAATGCGCAACCATCGAAGGCCCTTTCGCTACCACCATTTAACCAGCGAAAAATACCAAAACTTGATTCCACGGAGGGGCTGCAGTCAGAACTGTTGCTTTGTCGCTCTATCTGGGGTTCGGGACGGTCAGCAAGGTTCTGCTGACTGAATACAAACCATTGTACTGCTTGATTAGCAAGAAGAAAATCGGTCGCACATTTATATACCCTTATGGGAATGCAACAGCTGGGCGCGAGGCCGTGGCTGGGCTAGATGCGGTTTGCCTGTGGTTCACTGAGACGTTAGATTGGCGCAGGCATAGCAGTACTGGGATGTTATTCGTTGTCCAGTCGTCTTAGGATGTTTGACCTTTATTCCATGCGTTCTGCTCAATTACCTCACTGAAAGTCAACCAACCCAACGCAAGATGGTCAATAAGTAGATGTCTCAAGGAATTAGGAAGCTTCTTTGGCACGGGTATGATAAGGTTTCATGGAGGATCTTTTGGCCTGTGGACTTTTGAAGGTGCCGTGTTTTCCTTACGAGTACCCTGGCATAACTTTCTGCGTCCCAACCACATCTGGACATACCAAACCTTTTTTTTGTACAGTTACGTACTAATTAAGAACATTGTAAATTTGGTAACCTTATTTCGCGACATGTGCGCACCTTCCACAGCGATTCTTCTTTCATAGCTTCCATCGGACGGCTACTGGGCAGGATTGCGCGCGGGCAGGTTTACACCTGGTTCTAGAAGTCTTCTTCACGGTTCCATGAAGGTAAGCAGTTCTGTTTTACCTGCGCGGTGGGTAGTGTGGCGACCGGTGTGGAGTGCAGTGCCCGCACGCGCTGCACCGTTTCGCAGCCAAAAACGTCCTGCCACTATCAATTATGGACAACGTATGCCTTGGTGGTGTCAGGTGTTTAGGGAGACCATTCCTCAGGAGACGTCGTTGGATTTTGCGGCAGTAGGCGGGCGGTCGCTGCGTTAGTTCACTCGAATTAGTCTCGCTGCAGAACTTAAATGCTGCTATGGATGTCCTTGGACCCGATCATGTGAGATCGCTGTGTGTACAGTTCCTCGTCGCGGCATACGTGGCTTGCGGACGTTTGCCCTTGGCTCGACACTTTTCAACCTGTCGCCTAATATCTCATTTGCCAGAACCATCAGGTCTTGCCAATAGTCGTTTTGAGGAACGCAGAATGGTACAGTTGTAACCCGTCCGCAAAATGTTTGTCCGCGGCCTATCTCACGCTTCGTTGGCCGACTTGGTTGCGCTGTAGGTGTTAACAGACATGATGCTTGACGCTAAGGCGAAACATAGCCTGCTGTCGTTGGACGCTGCCAGCCTTGGGTTGTCACTTCCAGGTGTGTCTTGGATAAAATTGAGGTAGATTTGTTGTTTGTTCTGACGTTTCTTCATTCAATGTGACCTGCTCATATCGTTCCCTTTCCTGGATGTATGTCTTACATCATTTATGTTAACTGGTTGTAGGCGCGTCTCCCCCGGCGATCGGGTCTGCTTCTTCCCGGCCGCCGGGGCCCGGGGCATCGCTGGGATCGAATGCGGTTGCATTTGGGTCGGGACAATTTAATTCAATAACTCTCTTCGGGGGCTTGCCGTTTGGGGGCACCGGTGTACTGCCGACCGGCATACCACCCCTGACAGCTGCCGCCGCCGCCGCAGCAGCAGCAGTGGCCGCCCAGGCGGCCGTCACTGGGCAAGTTGCGGCACTGCCTGCCACTGCCAATGAAAGAACTTTGCTGAAGCAGCCAGGAGTTGTTTACCCAGCAGGTGGGATTGCTGCAAGCGTACCCCCGCCTCCCGATCCCAGCCTTGCGGTCCCAACGCCGCCGCTTACAACATCACCGCCAGTTGAACCCAGTGATGGGTCAAGCCCGTCCACATCGCACAACAGCCACGATGCGGCAGCTGCAGGCAGTCCCCCAGCGCCATCAGGTGCAGGCAGCTTGGACCGGACGGCAGCACTTACTGCTGGCCTGTTAAGCAGCAACGGCACAGCGCCTCACATGGGTGTCGCCCTTCCGCCCATGGGGCCCGTCGGCGCCATCGCTGCCGCTGCACAGGCGGCATCGGTCAGCGCCATGGGCGCTCCTAGCCTTTGGCTGCATCAAGCAGTTCTCACGTCCGGTGCCCAGGCTGCAGCCAGACCTGCGGTGCTGGCCCTTCTACCGCCGCACCAGGCGTCAGTAGCCGGTGCCATACGTAGAAGCAACGACGGTCAAATGTCAGCCGCGGACGAGCCTCATGTTGCGGCCCAAGGACCGGCAGCCGGTTTGCCGGGTGCCGGTGCCGCAGCGCTTGGAGATGCCCCAGTGAACGCAACTCCCAGTGGCAAGCCGCCATTGGCACCAGGCGGGCCCGGCCCACTTCCACTGAGCCTTACCGATCACCCCGCTGCTGGCATTGGTTGCAGCATTAGCTACAAGAGCAATGGAAGCCATACGGGCGGCTTCACGGGGGGAATGCCACTTGGTGTCAGCCCACCAAGTTTGGGGACTTCGCCTGCTGCGGGGAGGTATGTGGGGTAATTGACGAATAGTTTTGTATTCGGCGGGTCCAGTTCTTCCATGGGACATATGTCGCACAGATTATCCAGTATAACTTGAACAGGGTTGTTGTTTGGAAGTTATTGATTTGCTGTGGGGTTTCCTCGTCTGCTGCCTGGTCGCAACCCGCTGGATATGCCGCGGAATCCTAGGTTATCATCTCGGCGCCGCACGAGTAGCACGAACTTGCTGAGCTCATCTGCTGGCGCCAAGGCCAGCTCTTCGGCCCCATCGTTGTCTGTAAAACCTGACAAGTCGGGCGCTTGCAAGTACCGGGGAGTGCGGCAACGGCCATGGGGAAAGTTCGCGGCCGAGATTAGGGATCCCCATAAGGTGAGAACGTTGGATTGCCGTTGAGTAATTACCTCACGTAAGCGTGACGTATAACCTGCAGACGTTTATAACCTTGCATACCCTCTTCGACTTCGACGTAGCTGGGTTCGAGGTTTTGACAACCTGGACATTGACGCCTGTGTTTCCGCGGTCGTTGGACTGATCGTCTGTGTTGCTGACAAATGCGCGCATGGTTGCTTGCTATTCCATGCACAATTAGAGGTCAGGCTCTTTCTGTTAAAGGAAGTAGTGGAGGAGGAAATATCGCCCTCGGTCGCATTCTCAACATGTAGGGTGTGCGAGTGTGGCTGGGAACGTATGATACGGCGGAGGAGGCCGCTTTGGCGTACGACAAGGCCGCTAGGGAGATTCGGGGCCCTCGCGCTGTGGTCAACTTCCCGAACGTCAATCCCGGTGCAATCGCGGTGAGGACTCATTGTTGTGTTTTTATGATGTGTGACTACTATACGCAGGCGTTTTACCGTATTCGCTCACAAATATTGATTGCATGTCTGGTTAGGAGTGCTTGGAGCAACCACACGTCAGACGATGCGCATTTGTGCGAAGCTTTTACGTGCGCATAAGGGCTCAGGACCTGTTACTAAAGATCTCTGCTATGCCCTGCCCTATCCTCTCTCTGCATGCCTTGTGGCCCACAGCATCAGGACGATGAATGCGCCCATTGGGATCCCCTAGGCAGCTCCTCATTGGGAACTTCACCGGTGTCGTCGGGCTTCGCCACAGGCACACCACCTCTGATGGGCGGCTCGGCGCCAGTACGCAACATAGGGCATCCGCAGCACCAACATAACCACCACCCTGGTGTGGCACCATACACGAATTTGGGCCCGAGGAGCACTTTTGGCGGCTTTCCTGTCTACAAGCGCGACCCGGAAACCATTGTAGAGGGGGATTCGGATGTAGATATGGATGATGGTGATGACGGAGATGGCATGGAAGAGGACCGAGAGGATGGCGGCAGTGGCGGCAGGGCGCGGCTGAACGTCGTGACCGGTGTGGGCGGCAGCGGCCGGCCATCGCGCCCGGCGGCGGCGGCGGCAGTGGCGGCAGTGACAGCGGCCGCCGTCCGTGGTGGTATTGAGTTGGAAGACAATGGCGTCGAATTGGCACCAGCACGCGTGAAGCGACCGCCAGTTGCATTTGATGTGGAGGATGAACTTGCCGAGCTGGCTGATGCGCTGCTGCTTCTCCACGAGAGCGCCTGACCTCTGCCCTCGCCTTGAGGAGATGCCTGCGGGCCGGCCGGTATGGAACCGCGTATTGTTTCATGCACAGTTTCCTTAAGTTGTATCTCGGCTGTTGCACCTGCAATGGTTATTTGCCGACTGTTGCAACTTCTGTTTTGCACAAGATTCTGAGGCGCGGGAACTTGTGGACCGGGAACAGTTTGGACCTCCAGCGCTTGAGCTCAACAACGACAATGATTACTGCCCAAGGCCGCTGGAACAGAATTGCGTGCAGGTGTCTTGTAAACATGGGGGGTGGGGTACCGTTGGTTCGACGGGAAGCAGCGGTTTGGTTCAGTGCAAGGCTGGTGCCTTATCAGCAAAAAGCGGTATGTCCACGGCACCGAGTGAGTACCACATTGTAGTCCGGATATGCAGATACGTCGAACAGAGGGCGTGCCATGTCCACAGGAGTCTGTAGCTCAGAATCATTGGGATCTTCGGGAACTGTTCAGCCAGGACAACATTTGATTGCGCTTACTGCTAGACCTATTCTGCTAGGCCTATTGGGCTTTTTAATTCTCGTGTGTGTAAATTGCATGTTTTGCTGATTTGTTGCGCTGCTTATTTGGGCAGCCTGTCTACACGCAGAGGGGTGGTTGCGCGACAGCTGCGGTAGGGCCGTGGCGGCCCTCGACTTGCCGCACCTGAGGTATGAGTGTGTGTGAACTCCGTGAGGCTGCAGCGCAACGTGTATGTCATAGCATGGCTTATTTGTGGGTGACGCACTAACATGTAAAGTAGTACTTGTGTGTGTGAGGGGGGCATCTCGCGATCTTTCGAAGTGACGTCTCTGCTGCTGGCTGCCACTAGCGACGGAGTCTTTGCGAGAGTGCTGTGCAAGTGTATATGCTGTCCAGGCTGTCATGCAAGGTTCTGGAGCCCATTGGAAAAAAGGCATTTCCGGAGAGAGTCGCTGCTTCAAGTCTTGCAGCCACAGCCTTGGCTGTACCGGGCATATTTGAAGAAAGCCTTGATGCGCACGCCGTTTTTTCTTCGCGGTTAACAGCTGCGAAGTGCCTGGAGAGAGCAATCATCGCCACAACCCGCTCCACCTGACCAGATGCGGTTGCATATTATCCCAAGTCGCAGGAACCCTATATAGTCTTGTGATTGACGCAAGGGTCTAAAATGCCGGCTAATTCTTGCTTGACGCTCACAATAGGACGGGGGCTTGCGCTTTTAGGGGCTCGCATGCCCACGGTGAACCGTCCACAAGTTGCGCTGGGGCGTCCTCGGTGCGAGTGGGGTTTTGACGGAAAGCCCTTTAGGGTGTTGGCGTCACCCTTGCCCGATTTTGATTTTGAGCGTAAAACTCATCATTGGCCGATGGGGCTAAGAAAGGCAATGTTCGTAACCGTTCCCATCGTGTGGACTTCTTTTTATCCTGTTTCGACGTGAGAACATTCAGGTACCTCTTAACGCATCACGATTGTGGTGGTGGTGGTGGTGGTGGTGGTGGTGCTCATGGGCTGATGCAAGACTGGTGAAGTCTGGCAAAAGTTGTTGTCAGGCGGATGCATGTGCACCTGAGAAGACAAAGATGTTTAGATTGTTCCTAGGGCATTCGGAAGCGTTGTGTAGCGCTTGTCCCTAAGTTCATGGAGTTCTTCAACGATATTTAGGTAGCGTATTTGCTTTTGCCAAGGGGTCACGGCTGTGTCCATAGATGTCGCGAGGTTGCGAGCACCATAGTGCTAGTGGGCAGAGGGGGGTGCTGCAGTGATATGGTATGGCATAGCTTGTGCCCTTTTTGATGTATGTCGACTGGCTTGTTGAGATGTTTCGTGCAGGTGCCGAATTAGTAGTCAGGTGTGGGACACCGCGGGGCGTTGGATTTCTTTTGCTGCTGTCGTGGCCACAGGAGTTCTCATCGGTTGTGACACCTATTCTTTAGCTTTTGTGCCTGCTCATCTTGTATTTTATTTTGGAAGGCATGGCCTGTCATGGCAGCGAGTGCGTCAAGCCGGTGTTGTAGTATGGTATTGACAGGGGCTTCCGTGCAATCCGATGGTGAATGCGTCTTTTGTTCCCCTCTGGATTCTATCCATTTCGTTTGAAGGGCCATTACGGAACATGGTTGAAATCGCTCGTGTGGCGAATTACAGTTTGCATGCAGGTGACAATAGGTCGGTGCATGCGAGAGGTCCTGTGTGAACGCAGAAAAAACACGCGTGTAACCTGCATTTGGAGGTCGGTTGCACGTCGGCTATCCAGGCCGGAGTTTGGGGTTTCTTCAGGGTACCTTCCTATCGGAGATTATGTTTACGAGACCAGACGGTGTAAGTGTTGTGCGAGCATAAGCGTAGAATGTCACAAGTCTCAAACTTCAGGAGGATCTGGAAACGCTCAACTTGGAAGGGCTTATGAATAGGGGCACTGCCTACTTTTCATCATTTGCTTTCCTTACGCATTTGAACGGGAGCAGCTACTACAAATGCTACCAGGTCAGCAAGGAATTAGCTGATGCTGTCGGACTTAAAAAGATTCAGAGTTGTGGCCGATGCTCTTGGACACGACAGAATCACGCATCGCCTACGGTCATTCTTATGATGCATGTCAAAAAAGGTGCGTATACGACACATCCTTCCGGCATAGCCGCGCAATCAAAATTACACCATTACAGTCGTATATGCATACTATGCGTAAGAAACGTTAAAATCAGGGACTCATATATTTCCAAGGGACCAGAGACGTGTACCCATTCGCGAATGCAAAATGCTTGAAAGATGCGTAATGTCGCAGCGGCCTTGTCGCCTTGGCGTGCTGTGCCAAGCAGAAAGGAAGCATGAACTCCGTGTTTGTATACATCGCACGTGCAAGCATCAAGGATCAGAGCAGGTGGCCGTTGGTGCCGCTTTCAGTTACTCCCGGAAAGTGCAATGTCCCTGCAGTACTGAAACTGCCTCCTTGTGCAGTTGCTAAAGTTTGCCGTCGATCTCGCTTTACCGTGGCTCAAGGCTGCTCCAACAGGTTGCTTGGGTGCGTTCGCAGCCCTTTGGTACAGTACATGGATTTTAGCAAGAACCCTAGTGCTCCTACATCGTGAGTTTCCTAACGCAGGCAACTGCGGAAATGGCCCCAACATGGTATTGTTACCTGAAGAGCAGCTCCTGCACCACGTGGCAACACCAAAGGAGTTAGCGCAGGTGGGCCTACCGGCAGCGGAGTTAAATTCCTTCTGGACCTGTCCTGAAGTGGTCACCTCTGAACGGACTTGGCCCCGCTACGCATTCAGGTCCTCCGTGCGTTCTGTGGAACAAGCATCGACGACGTATTTGTTCAAGCGACGCAAGTACGGGAAGCTCACGTTGTGCAGCAGCTACGGCACGCATGGCAACCACCCTACTATGCACGAGTATTTCACCATCTCGCACCTCGTCAGGCGTGTATATTTGCCCGCCATGATGCTGATGCATACATTGATGTTGTCGCTTGTTATGCGTTCTTCCCCGCCTTCCCATTCCCATCCCTGTCTTCCTTGTTCGGTGTTTTCCCCAGCCGTTTCAAGCCGGCCCCTCCTTGTCCTCCTCCTCAAGCTCCGTCTGGCAGGCAATGCATATGCTGCACGGCACGACTTCAGCAGGGCGATTGACTGCTATAGCTGCGCGCTACAGCTTAACCCGCCCGCTGGTGCCCACATGCTGTATAGCAACCGCAGCGCGAGCTACCTCCAGGTACAGCGGTGCAGAGTCTGCTGCCCTATACTTCACATCCTCTACCAAAATACTTTATCCTATACTTTAAATTTTCTACCAAATTGGTATGGCCTCTTGGTCAGCACAAGGCTTCCGCGCTGTGCGTGTTGGTGCGGGACCGATGCCTGGATTAAGGCTGCCGAACGTCTTGGCTTGATGTGATTGAAGTTTAGGGGAAGGTGGGACATGGGTGGGCTGAAAGGATCGCAGTGGTAGAAATGGCAGCGGCCGCCATGGCGGAAGCAGCTCCACTTTTAAGTCGGAATGCATGTAGCCGTGCCTACCTTGCTGTCCCACACATATCCACCTCCTTTGTCCCTTCCCCACGCGCCCCGCAGGTAGGTGACATGGAGGCGGCACTGGAGGACGCTCAGCGAGCGGTAGAGCTAGCCCCTCCAGGCTTCCATAATGTGAGTTCCCATCTAGCCGAACTGGGAACACCAGTGATGCCGCCATTCACGCTTGCGGACATGCATGCAGCGCGCATGGTAACAAGCTTCATTTGGAGGCATTTGAATTGTGAATCATTCGGCACTTCCTTACGGTCCCTCTTGTAATGGTGCCGGAAAGTCGGCACTACCACACATGTGCCCCGCGGGTGGTGTATGTGTGTGGCTCCCTCAGGCTGCCATTCGTCTGATTGATGCACTATTTGCATTGCGGCGGTTCGAAGAGGCAGCTGAGGCGTGCAGGGGGGCGGCGGAGCGGGACAGCTCCTTCAGGTTCCGAGAAGAATATCCGGTAGGTGACTGGATGCGTGGGCAGGAAGGGTTGATGCGTTCTGGTGCAGAGAGCAGGGAAAAGTTGTTGCTGGGCGACGTGTGGAGACCCGCAACATGTACATGTTACTCCGGCCGTCGTCCTTCCTGTTGATGCGGGCAAATGCTTTTGAGGATTTCTGAGATCACCACAGCAGCGCTGAGTCATATGTGGCATATCGCATCACCCAACCTGGGTACGCTATCTTCTCTCCTCCTCGCATGACGTGGCACCAGCTCGTGTAGCCACCCTTGCTCTGAAACTCCTCTGGCTAATCCCAAGTATCCCAACCTGCTTGCATATGATGATTGCATATGCCGCATTCCCTCCCTGCTTACAGGTGATTAAGGACTCTCTGAAGAGGTTGGGCCACGCGGTGTAACCGCCAGCTCCATGTCTGTCTGATGCAGCAAAGCAAATGGCAAGCTGTTGTGTACGGGTGGGAGAGCATACTTGACTTCAGGAAAAGGAGCACAGTAATGCGTTACATGGAAAGTGTTATCCGCTTTTTATTCAGGAGAGTGACAAGGAGTGCATGAACGAGGGTGCTATTGGCGAGACGTGTTGCAGTGACCGCACTGGTAGGTGGCATGTTTCCCCCGCAGCAGACATCCATCAAGTGAGGGGAGCACAGTGAATAGTTATCCTGAAGGCTGATTTATTGTTGGACCCGCTCCGAACATTACTTTTCAAGCGGGTGTAGGGCCCTCGGGCGCAATTTGGGAGGAATTCGGTGTCTGGTGAGCTCACCCTAACTCTTGCTTCAGTGTCTCGTCTGCTGCGTAGTCCAGCATTATGTCTCGGAGCGTTGTCGGCACCTGGTAACTTCAAACCTAGTTAAGCACAACTCAGGTGCCAAGTCGCGTTAGACAGTTCGGTTCGCCCATGCATCCCATCCTGTTGGAGTCCGTCCGGGGGATGTTGAGAGCAGTACGACAAGTGTGAGACTCAGTGCGGCACCAGGTCGGCCCTAAGCGGTGCGCGCCAGGGAGGCGGAGGAGCTACGCCGGGAGCTAACGAAGCCGCGTCCTTTCCCCTATCCCACAAGTCGCCCCCCGGGTCGGCTCTAGGCTGGACTGTTGTGCGTTGCCGTTCGAGATGAGGACTAGATTTCCCTTGTGCAGGCCCGAGAAGCCGTTCGTAGGTGTTCCTGCGAGATTCCAAGCTTTTGGCTTCGGCTCGATTGTAGTAATTGGTTATGAGGGCTTACCTGGCTTACCGCCTTGGCAGAAAGAAGACCATACCGTGATTATGTGGGGCCGTGTGCTTGGTTCGTTCCGTAGGTCTTCAGGCCTCGTCATTGCTAATAGTAGGGCCCCTGGAGATCCCATTTGTAGGCGTATGTGGCGGGGACGGGAGCATGATTGTGATATGTCTGATAAGCCTAGTTAATGCTGCTTCTTTTCATTCAGCCAAATGGCTTAAGGTTGGACAACAAATCAATAGAGAGGATGGCCTTTTGCTTAGCGATCACAGGTCGATGAATGAATGCCTGTAAAGCCTGATGCGTTTAGCCGTACAACTAAAACCGCAGTGTCATCAGTTCAGAACTCAAAAGCCCGAAACGAGCCTATTATCAACATGTAGATCTTTGAGTTCTGGGCACGAATAAGTTTTTCACCCGACTTGGACTTTGTTAGCCTATGGTTCCATGAAGTAGTTTACCTGACCGCGTTAAGACAGGGATGGGCTCGGGTACCTGCGAGCAGAAGAGTGTGCTTGCTTCCGTGGAGGCGAGCCAGGTTACCGACTGTGCTGTCTGCCGCGGGGCGGTATAATGGGCAGACGACGCAGTGGAAACCTGTCAGTCCTGACTATATGATCTCGCGGAATTACTCTTTCCGTCGCGCTCTCCGCTACTTGCACATCGATCGCACCGGTACGGCCCCAACGTACAACTGACGAACAGCCGGGCACGCTTTCGACAAATACACAGAAACCCTTTTGTTTTTTTTAGTTTTCCCCAGAAAACCTTCAGTTACATGGGTTTAAATGCATGCCTAAATAAGCCGCATGCGTGTGAGCAGTACACCTTAACCCCAAGCGTAACCAGCTCATAACTCGAAATGTCATGTGACTGGGCAACATGTGAGTATACGTATGGGGTTACCTGTCCTGCCAATAATGCGGGAGTTAAAGGGGGCCGGGAAGGGGAGCTGGACCACATGGACATGTGCATCCACATCTAGGCATACGCATCTAGGCATGAAGTCCAGACGTGCACGGTAACTGCTTTGGGGTGACCAGGCGTGCGCGGCGCCTTTTTTCAAGGTTGTGTTCCGAGGCGCCCATCATCGCCGTTGCTCCTGTTGAGCGACGATGCAGGGCTTGAGGATAACCCTTGTTCTGCGGCGTGAGACGGAAGAGATGGGAGAGCCCTTGGTGCAGGGTGGGGGAAAGGAAAGGAGAGCCCATGGTGGGGGTCGTGAGAGTTGAGAGGCCTTGGTGGGGGTCGTGAGAAGGGAGAGCCCTTGGTGCAGAGCGTGAAAAGGGAGATCCCCATCACTTGGGTATTAACGCCCGTTGGTGACCAGCCTGACAGCTAGCAAAGCGTGATGTGTGTACTTGTCGTACGGCATAGGACCCTCCCGGTCCGCCCCATGGGGCGTTCAATGGGTTCAAATCCCACATTAATCGAAATATGTTGGTTCATACTGCCTCTGCCATGCTGCCTGGGTCGAAGTTCATTCCTTTCTGGAGTCACACATCAGCCCTGCGCAAATGATTTCTGTAATGGATGCGTCTTACTTCTGTACAGTATTGCTCCGTGTGGAAAGGTCGGACATTCTTGCTTCTTCGCTTTCCATCTGGGTTTGTCCACTCTCGGGTTTGAGAAATTAATGTTGGGGGAAAGGCGAGCACGGCTTTATGTGCACATGCGCATCCGAAATAAGACATCCGCATTTTGACATATACACAAACGAGACCCAAGGACAGTTTGTTTGGTATTATGTGACCGATACATCGAGACCGATAATACTGTGCGTGCTCGGCCGGGACAGCAACTGGGTGTGGTCAAGATTTACGGGAGCCCTCAATGACATTTTAGATGTACAAACGAACTGTTTGCTGGCAAAGTTTGGTTTGCCAAAGCTCGTATTTACCCAACCCCTCGTTCCGGAACGACAGCGCGTGTACCTTGGCTTGAAGTGTGTACCTTGGATTGAATCGTGAAGGTCAAAATGGTAATCTCTCCGCCGCGTGAGCGGCCTTAACTAAGTGCTTTTACAGCTGGATCTTACTTCGCCTACTGTGTGAGGCTGAAACCTCTGACAGTCGCAGAAGCATACCATACCGTACAACGACCAATGGCACAGACAACCGTCGTCTGACAATGTTCTTATAGTACCTATTACAGACAGTATTCTGATGGGATTGCGGCATTCGCCCGTCCGAGCGTGTTACACTTTTCGCCCGTTTCGCTATAAAGCCCTCATTCCCGTTTTGCAATAATTGCATTTGACGATGTCCGCCTTATTTTATGGCTCGTCTCGCCACATGGTTGGGGATCTCTGTTCATGTCCGACAGCTTTAACCAGGAAAGGAGCGAACCGCTTCGTTCTTCCCTGTCCAAAGCCAAATCTGGCGTTGCGCAGCACCTCCGGTGCGTCCGACTGTCTGTTCATGCTGCTCGATATTACCATCGTGTTTACGGGCCTTGGGGTTTCCTACGTCTGTTAGCATAGGTCATCCCGAAAAGTATTGTTCGCCTTTGGCCGACGCTTCCCCTTGCGCCTGACTTGCCGGTGGGCCGTAATAGTATTCGTTATTTCTGTGCATAGAGTGAGTATGACCTTGTGATTTTTGCTTTATATGTTTCAGGTGCACGTCGCGTCCGTGGGCACGGGCGGCTCTTAACTAGGGCAGCTGTGTACAGTGGCCACAGTGGCCACAGTGGCGAAACCCCTGAGGATTGTATCCAGCGCCGGATTCGGGAAAGTGCAGCGGTAAGTTGTTTCTTATGCGGAAAGTGCTGGAGCTTGCGCCCTCATTTTCAGTTGGCAACTGCTCAACAGTGGAAGCCCTCCCCAATCTTTAGAAAGCTGCGCCATTGAAGCTTCAAACAATGCAGCGATCACAATTGGCAGATCATCTGAAGATCCCTTGGGGCTCCGCACACCGGACAGCCCGCAGGCTCCCCCGCCCCGCAGCGCAGCAAAACGCACTCAACCCCTCCGTGCCGCCGTTGGGGTCCCCGACTCTCCGCGCTCTCCTGCTCTTCTCAACACCACAGGTCGAATCCCGCGTTATCAGCGTTGACTCAGAGGATGAATTTGTCCAAGTACTGGAGGACGCGGGGAATAAGCTGCTTGTAGTGGAGGTGCGTGAGCGGCATGGAAAAGGGGTGGTGGCACTACGACAGATGAGAAGGAAGGCCTCATACGGTCTAAGCTGCCGACCGATCTGGCCTGTATTGGATGGACGATGTATTGGATGTCCTTGTAGTACTCCGACTGAAATCGCGCGTAATCAGCTGCAGTTGACCTGACGGTTCAGAGCAGCAAGCGCGTCGTATCGACATAGTGCACTGGGCCGTGCTGTGACATGCAGATCCAATCAGAGAGGGTTTGCGAAACTGGCCTGGACGAACCTGAGCCTGAGCTGCACTGGAAGCTGGACGCGGAGAAGGCACATGCGCTGCAGATGGCGAAATGTACGGCAGTTAAACACGTGATACAGCGTACGGCACGCGAGTGTCCAGATGTGTGTTTCGTTTCCATTGAGGTACGATTGAGTGGGACACGGGTGCGGGTGGGACCTGTGTATAGTAACAAGATGCTGTCCTATCCCGGGCCTTTCCGCATGAAGGATTTGAGCTTGTTTGGCTGAGCAATGCGTTTTGGGGACTGCAGGTCTTTTATTAACATCCGCAGCGTATCCGGAGAGGTATCGTGCAGCAATGCGGGAAATGAAACGGGGGAGGGAAAGAGGCTCAGTCCTTAGGTGGTTGCCCCCGTCCGCGGTTATCCTCATGCCCTGCGGATCTTCCTCCTGCTTTGGACCTGCTGCATTCCGCATGTGCCACCTTGCATGGTACCTGCTCCCCGCCATACACCCTCGCGCGCGGGCTCCCCTCTATTCTCACGCCTCACCAGACGGACGGCTCCTCGCACAAGGAGGCGCTGATCCGCAAGCTGGGCGTGGAGGTGCTGCCCACGTTGCAGTTCTACCGGGAGGGCAAGCTGTTGTGGGAGCACAAGGGCGTGATGCAGATGGAGGCGGGGGTGGGCGAAGGTGAGTGCGGGCTTGGAGGGCGCTGGAACGGAGGTGCGAGCAGTGGTGAGCCAAGGTCGCATGTGATGAAGGTGGCGGGTAAAACGGGTAACGGGTGCCACAGAAGCCTTGGTCTTGTCGCGGGTTGCTCGATGCTGGTGGTGCTGACCGTGAATTTAGTGTACACTCGTTAAGTCACATGGGCGAGCTGTACAGGGGTGTGTGACGTAGGTGGCAACTTCAGCTCATCGCTAATGCCGCGTTTTCCTTAGTTTCAGATCTTGTAACCCACATCGTGCTACCACATGTACGGCGCTACACACCGCGTCACCGTGTACTTCTTGCCGTATCTCTGATGGCACCTAGGTATGATGTACTACGGCGACGTTGTGGCGGGTGGAGTGCAGCCGAGCAGTGTGGTGGCGGACATCACCTCCCGGGCCAAGCTGGATGAGTTTCTCAGCTCCTCAACGGACCCCAGGGTGCTGCAGGTGGGAAAAGAGAAGGCTGGAGTTGATCTCCCTTTGAGGAGGTGGAAGGAGGGGGCAAGGGAGGAAGGAAATGCTCTAGGATTTGAGTCCCCCTGCACGAAAGGTTTGGCTCGGCTCGGGTCGACTAGCGATAACATGTGTTGCTCCTCTATCTGCGTGCCACGAAGGTTCTAAACGTGGCGCTTACAAGTGCTGGACCTTGCATCAAGGTCTTCCCCGCGGTGGGTCAGGGAGGATTTCAAGCTGAAGGGTTGTTTGGGATGAAGTTCCTAACCTAGAGAAATTGCATCCTTCAAACCCTCCCTTCATTGCAGGTAGTGGCCCTGAGCCGGTCGTTCCAGGGCTTTGCGAGCTTCGGGCGGTTGCTTGGAGACCAAAATGGCGAAACGCGCGCGCTGCTGCAGGAATTCAACATCATCGAGGTGCCCACCTTTATCTTCTTCAGGTACATCACCTATGGCAGTATCTAGGGGGTTGCGGTCGCTATATCGTGTTTGCTGCGTCCAATTCACTAGCATAATGTGGCCCTATGGACTTGGAAGTACTTGATATCCTGGTTCTGGGCAGAGGGGTAACACGCTGATGCGGCTGCCGGAGTCTGCCGTACAACTGGCATGCGGTACGGTCGATTTCGCGAATGGAAGCTTCTAAGCGTAAGGACAGTTTGAGATTCAGTACTGGAACGTGATCCCCAAATTGGTCCTATGCAGGGCGGGCCGGGAGGTAGGGCGGCATGTGGGCTCCAGCCGTGGTGACCTGATCGGCCAAATCCTACAGCAGCAGGAATCCATGGGGCTCTCGCCGCCTCCGCCGCCCGTGACAGCCCGCACAAAGCCTCGCAGCCGCGCGGCGGCCAAGCGCAAATGAAGGTTGGGTGAAAAGGAGGTTTGATGTGTTAAGATTACGGTGCAATTGGTGCATGCATACAAAAGATTCTTAAGTTCGCCCCTAGGAAGGAAAACTACGCAGGATTGACGTTTTTTTTACAGAAGTAGTAGCAGCTCGAAGAGCAGACATATTTTCTATTAGGCGCATTATCACAATGGCGTGTTCCGTTCCAAAGATGTGTTTTAGGCTTTGGCTGGTGGGAGTTCAGCGCACAGCAAGTGCAAGCCGCGATATCATGGCGTTTGCGTTACGGAGGAACTTTGCACACGCCCTCGTATGCCACGCCAGGGCGACCTAGCGACTCAGGCATACACACACACGGGGGTGGAACTAAAGAACACGATTGTCGCGTAAGGGAACATGATGTTTTCTTTTACAAATCTGAAACATCGTGTTTTTACTAACCCAGTCAGTTAATGGACAGGATGCGGAGATTGTGGCTGCAGGTATGGCAAATCCAGTTTTTTTGTACATATGAGATGGGTAGAAGCGCAGGGATGGATAGCGAATAGTGGCTCGTCCTGTGATGTGAGGTGGGAGTGTTTGGCAGTGACATTGCGGTAATTACAACGAAACCATGCTGTCATATGTGCACACATATATATCACAGCAGCAGATCTGGTTGCGGATTGACGTGGTGAAGGTGGATACGTGGCTGAGTAAGCGCTGTTGACAAAAATGTATAATGTATGGCATTACGTGCAACCGTTGCAACCAAGCGAAGAACGGAGCAGGTTATAGCGAATGGCACCCAATATGGCATGTGTTAGAGATGTTACACAAACTGGACAAGTGTCCTTCAGATATTTTAATTAATTGATATTTGCATTGCACCATTTGATATTTGCTATCCTTATAGTCCATGATTTGTAATAATAGGTACTACAAGTAGCCACAGTCCCCAAAGTTGTATGGAATATACGTGGTGCGACCGACTGGAAACTAGAACAGCGTGAACTACTTCGACTCGCCTTGCGTTACGACATTGTTGTACTTACCGAAACGCACGGGTCACTTGTGGGTAGGCTATCTCGGCTGATACCTAATGGGTCATGCAGTTATCTTGCTGGGAAGTCCAGAGAACGGGGGGGTGTTTGCGTTTGGGTGCATCAGCGGATCGCGCGTCATGTTACTCACTGCACATCGACAGACGCGCCAAGAGGCATGAACAGTGTTTGGCTGAGAATTCACGGTGAAGCCCTGAATTTTTGAGGGAATGGCTTGGTTATTGGCGCCTGCTACGCTGCACCGCTCGGATCTCGGGCTTACACAGCTAATGGACTCGAACCACAGGATAGTGTAACACGACGCGTCATGGACAGGGTGCGGTCGCTGGTGAGACGATATCAGCAACCTGGGGACGAGGTTTTGTTGATGGGGGACCTAAACTCCAGGGTAGCGGAGCTCCGTGGACTGCCAGATGTTGATGGGGACGCCGAGTTAGCGGATCACGTCAGGCTGAGCTGGGGCAAGCCAACCTATTGCGTTCTATTCCGCCACGCCTTTCAGAAGACAAAACTGATAATGTGTTCGGAAGGGCCCTGGCTACCTTGTGTCAGGAAATGGAGATGGTTGTTTTGAACGGGCGTGTCCAGGGAGATTTGCAAGGGGCGTGTACTTTTTGGAGTCCGACGGGGAACGGCAGCAGCATGATTGATCTCTTCGTAGCATCACCCGCCCTTTTCTTTAAGTCGAACCAATTGCGCGTGCTAGACATTCCTGTCGCACTAACCGGCGAGAGAGTTGGTAGCCTCATGAGCGACCACTGCCCAGTGTCGCTCGAGTTGGGGGCGCTGCGCGAGGGCGTCAACCCAACTAGAAGGGACAAATCCACGACACGTTTTGATGTCCAACACAAAGGCCGGTACGAGAGCATGTTTGCTGCTGCTGATGCCCCCGCTGTGCGGCGCATTTCAGATGCTGTTAGCAAACTTGGAGGCGAACTTGACAGCACCGCGTTTGTTGAAGTACTCACTCGAGCCTGTTCATCAGCGTTGGAGAGGGCTTTTTGCAAACGGTGCCCTGCACCCAAGCGTGTCAGGGAAGAAAAGGATGCGCCCTGGTGGACCCAGGAATGCGCAGCGGCACGCAGCGACATGTTGCTGCAAAAGGCACATATGAGGGCACAGGGACTACTTGCTGATGAGCAGGCGCTGCAGATCTTTACACTCCTGCGCTCTCGCTACCAGAGGATTAGGAAGGAGGCAATGGCTGCCCATCGAGTGTCGCATTTTACTACGTTTCTTGAGGAGTGCAAACGGAATCCGCGTGCATTGTGGCGGCAACTTAACCAGGGGGTGACACCTAATTGCCCAATACGTGACGTCAACAGCTGGCGCGATTATTTTGACGCACTATACAACGACGAGATCAACGCTTTTAATGAGGTTAGAGCGGATTGCATGATGAACCTCGTAAATGGGTGCTCACTTACAATACCGCGCGGCTGGGCTGGTGAGAGCTGCTTAGCCCGAAATCAGAGAGTAGCTGCTGCGGCGGCCCTCAGTGCCCCGTTTATCTTGGCAGAGGTCATCGCTGCACTAAAAATGCTGGGCAACAATAAATCCCCAGGACTTGAAAGGGCCCCTGCTGAGTGCTATAAGTATGCCACTAGGAAGGTGGGCGAAAAGGAAGAGATGGTGCTTGCACCGTATCTGCTGTGTCTGTTGGAACATATCCGGTCGACTGGGGATTACCCAAGGCAGTTCGAGATATCCGCCCTCACACCCATCCACAAGAAGGGCGACGTCATGGATCCTAAAAACTACCGGGGGCTTGCCGTCGGTGGGCTTTGTCTAAGCTTTACGCGTTATTGCTTGGCCGGAGGCTAAAGGCCTGGGGGGAACGTTGTGGTGCGCGGAGCCCTTATCAGGGTGGGCTTTCGGCCACGGCGCGGCACCACTCAGAATTTGTTCTTGGTGCGACACCTCACAGACCGATGCCGTAAGGATTTTGTTAACGTCCCGGGACAAGCGTTGTTTGTTTGCCAGATTGATTTTGAGAAAGCTTTTGACCGGGTTAATCGAGAGCTGCTCTGGGTTAGACTTGAGGAACGAGGAGTCACGGGTTCTGCGTTAGATGTCATCAAGCGCTGCTACAATCGGGTGGAAATGCGAGTCCAGGTTAATGGAGCAAAAGGAGAGGCGATTCCCTCCACCCAAGGGGTCAAGCAGGGTTGCCCAATGAGCCCCACGCTCTTCGGTTTTTTTGTCGAAGGTTTTGCAGATTACATTGATGCCCTAGACGTCGCACTTCCTGACGCCATGGCGGCCCATGACACCCCTAGCGTTGAAGGACGTCGAGTGCCCCTATCCCTCTATGCTGATGACTTGAGCCTTTTTGCGATGTCATTGAGACGGTTGATGAGCTTACTACGGGCACTGCGGGAGTGGTCAGAGGCTTTCGGTCTCACTGTCAACGTGCAAAAGTGTGAGTTATTGTTTTTTCACCCCAATGGTCAGGTTAGATGGCAGGTCTATGCTCTCAGCGGATACAACCTTGTCACCATGCGCGTACTTGAAGAGGGGTTACCGATGTTCCGTCCGGTCACCTGGAAAACACGCGCCCGTTATCTGGGGCTGCACTTCGGACCAGACTCGGGCTTTGCGTCTTGCACGGATGAGCTGTTCTCGGCTGGCCAACGGGCCATGTTTGCTCTGCGCAACAAGCTGCGCCGGCAGGGTCTGCTGCTACCTAGCGTCGGCATGAAGTGTTTCAATGCGCAAGTTCGTTCTGTCTTATCATACGGCTCGCAGGTGTGGGGGACTGACCAGGTTCTCGCGATGTTGGAAAAGGGCTATCCGGCTAACGAGGCACCGCGGTCATGCTATTTCGATGTGGCTATACGAGACCGAATGGTCAAGCTCCGAATCTTTTTCATGAAACAACTGGTAGGGACTTCTGTACCACCCCTCCAGCTTTTGTTTATGGAGCTAGGGCAGATGCCGCTACAGCTGCACTGGGCTGAATCCGTATTTCGCTTCTGTAATAGCTTGGTGGAGGACACTAGTAGCGTATACCACAGCGCCTTTCGTCAGGAAATTCGTTTGGCGTTAGTAACGAATTTGCAGTTTGATGGTTGGGGATCCAAAGTCATTCGTATCCTTAACCACTTAGAGCATGACTGGGGTGAGGAGGCAGTCGGGGGAGGCATTGATATGAGGGTTAGACGTTACTCGGCTTGCAAGCTTGATGTCGAAGCGCTGATGGACACCCTTAGGACACGTGTCAACGACGACTGGGCAAATGATAGGCTGGCCGTGGACCCTAGAGTTTTCGTTACGGACGGTAGGAAGCCCGGCGTGAAGATGGGCCGTCATAAGCACTGGATGGGGCCACCGAAGCCGTACGCGGGTTATATCCCGCCGGGGCATCATCGTTGCCCTAATCCGTTTTCGTTTGTGTGTCTCCGACCTGGCGGTTAACAGTGAGAGCAACAGGGCTAGGGAGCACCGCGTGTGCGCTGTGTGTCGTAGCAATGGAGCTATTGAGGATGAGAAACACTTCTTGGTAGAATGTCCGGCGATTGTGTCTGCGCGTCAGAAGCTCTGGGACCTCGGTGCGCCCGTCAATGCGAACATCCGTGATATCATGCAAGTGAGATGTTTCGCTCCCGGCATGAGCACCTAACTACCTAACTTTCTCGGCAGTAACAGGCAATTGTGTGTCAGAGTCAAATTGACGCTGTTCTTTCTCATAAACACCCGTTTTCTTCTTGCGTAAAACTTTCTTTTTCTGTTGTTTGTTATGTTTGTTTCGTTTACTTTTTCTCTTTTTCTTTTCCCTATCGACGGCGCTGTCAAAGCGGTTCATGAGCCTCCGGGTTCGTTTGGGCCGTACGAGCTCGCTGAAGCTTGTAACATCCATCCATCCAAAGTTGTTGAAAACTAAGCAGCGAATACAGAGCGATCACCTCGTTATACGTTACATAGGTCTGGGATTAGAGCGAGGATAAAAGGCAAGACCCTGCCATAAATACAAAGTGTATCTCGGAAATCCGCTCCAGAACCAGTACAGGTATCCCGCCAAACTACGATATGCAGGAGTTCTGGACGAGATATCAACACTCCCCCGCGGACAGAACTCTGGCACACCCCAGAAGAAAACTCAACGAACTCCCATGCACTCTCGGAATTTCGAAAACTTGACCAAAGCCAACGGCTTCGTCAGCACATCTGCAACCATATCGTGAGAAGGGCAATACTGGAACGATACACTACCCGAACTCTCCTTTTCTCGAACAAAGTGGTGGATCACGTCTATGTGCTTTGACCGCTCTGACGTGATGGGGTTGCGGATCAGGGCTATAGCACCTTGACTATCGTCCTTGATCTCAACGGCCCGTACCTCGTAGCCCAAATCCCTCATCAACTTACGCAACCAAACTGCCTCCCGCGTTGCTGACGCAGCAGCCATGTACTCGGCTTCAACCGACGATGCAGCGACAGTAGGTTGTAGCCTGCTCTTCCAACTTATGGCGCCCCCATTCAGAATAAAGACATAGCCGGTGGTGGATCGCCGACTATCTGGATCACTGGCCCAGTCAGAATCCGCATACCCCACCAAAGACTGCGAACCGCANAAAACAATACCATACGCTAATGTGCTCTTAACGTACCGCA